ACCAGGAGGAACACCTCCAAAAGGTGATGGAGATTGATTTCTTGCTGGAATTGTAGATGATTGATTGATATTCATACCTGGTGGAAATCCGCCGGCCATTAAAGAAGGATTACTTGGTGGAGGTGGAACTGATTGATTTGAATTCATACCAGGAGGAAAACCACCGAACAATGGTGAAGGTTTATTTGTTGATGTAGACATAGGATTTACTACAGAATTATTTACAATTCGTGAACCAGTTGATAAGCTTGCTTGTGATGAAAGATCTGAATTGGGACTAGTATTAATGTTTGTTAAAGGATTCCTATTTTGATTAGAGTTATTATTAATGGGAAAACCAGGTTGAAAACCAGTTGATGAAGCTCGAAGTTGAGTATTAGAAGAATTCCTTATACTAGGTGAAAAACTCGATTCACTTCCATATGTATTTTTACTTGGAATAGTATCTCTTTGCTATAAAAGATGAAACAATAAGAAAAGTTATTATTTTCAATGAAAATTATTTTTTTACTAGTAGTTTTGCTCGAGTTTGTTCTGGTATATTATAATTTCTTATACTTTCATCATCTTCTTCGTCCTTGAAAAATAATAATCATATGTCAATGACCTCACATATTTTTTGTCTTACTGTTTGATATGATGGTTTTGTAATAGTATTTAATGGACGTTCACTTGTTGAACCATTTGGAAATGCGCCAGGAGGTAATTTACTAGGACTAAAAATGTTGTTGCATTTTTTTCCATGTATGATGTGATAGATAAAAAACCTTGAATTATTACTCACGTTTTATTTCTTGTGAATAGATTTTTAAAACTTTGAAACATTCTACTTGTTTGTGATATTAATTAGTAATAAAAAAAAAGAGGATATATATGCACTTTTATCTTGTGTAAAAAGGGTTGTTCATAATAATATCCTACAATGCAAAACAAAAATTAATACAAAACATTTTTCTAACGTATTCATACAACTGAAACACAAAATAATACATGTGTATCGGAAGAACGGCAAGGATGGTGAAGAAAAGAGAAAGAGAGAAAATATATGTGTCTGTGTTACGATCTATAATGAAAAACCATTCGTCCGTATCCAACTTAATGAAAACGATTATAACAATGTCATAAATGTGAGATGTAAATATTTATTTATTTTGAATCATTTCTAAGTAATAATAATAATAATAATAATCACAATGCCTAAATTACTAATTTCAATTCTTATTTATGATAGGACTATAAATTTTTATTGATTTCAATTCTTTTATATTTATTTCTTAATAATAAAAAAGGAAAATCAAGACTAGAAATGTTTGACATGGGTAAGATGCATATCACATAACTGTCTGTGCAAATCTTCGTCGTACACGTGCTACAATTAAACCAGTACCACCAGCTACTGTAGCTATTAGAGCAAGTGTAAGCAATGTTCGACATGAAAATAAATCATCAAAACTATTTAATTGTGAAAGGAATGAACCAGTTTGTACACTTATAAAAGTATATGGCGCCATGCCTAAATAAAGAAAAATATGGTTTTATATGAATGAAATTGGTGTTTTTCTCATACTAACCAAAGAGAATTGAAAAGAAAAATATTTTTTTTGGCACATTTAATAATGGACATGTTATTGTTATAAGTGAATTTGGACTCATTGGTACCATTCGCATAAAAAGTAAAACAAAAAAGAGATTATCACGACCAGCTTCAACCTTTTGATAATGAAAAATAGAAAGAAAATTATTCGAAATTTGTATTTTTTTACTTTTTTTTGTAATACAAGTATTTTTTTATGACAACATTGAACAACTAAATTACGAGCAAAATTAGAAACAAGTAAATAACACAAACTAGCACCAATTGCTGTTAATAAACAACAAAGTGGAAAGCCAATCCATGTACCGAATAAAGCACCACCAAGTAAATTCTATAGTATATGAAGAAAAAAAAATAGATATTCATTTCAAAAAACAAAAAAAAAAACAAGAAACTATCAAATAAATATACCAGAATAGCTGAACCTGGTAATGAAAAAGACTGTTTGTATAAATAAGCAGAGCCATATAGTAATAAAAGATAAGCTAAATGATCGTCACGATAATGTTGTAAGGTATTTGATAAGTTTTTTAACGCTTCGATACTTCGTGGAAAATGAAGAGAAGTTCTAAATAAAGAATAAGAAGAATGAGAAGTTTTCATTCAATTCTCAGTGGAATCCGAATGGTTTGATGCTTCAATATTCTTCATTAATTTATTAGAAAAAAAAAACTTACCATTGCAGCTCTTTTGGAGCTAAAATGTGAAACTAACTTGTGTTCTTTAGCCTCATTATACTAATACAAAATATGTGCAGCGAAAAATTTCTAGCATACTGTAGTTGTTTTTCAAGGATAATCGATTGTCACAGAAACGGTCTGTCTTATTTAGTTTTACATTTCGAAAAGAAATTTCTTCTTCCTTTCTACTAATGTTCTATTTTGTGTTTGTCTTATTGCTTTACATTTTTTATATTCTATTTTTCTTTATTTAACATTATTATTGTTATTCTAACCATTAATTTAACTGTCAAATAAACCTGTTGTACATAGGCATTACATCTACAAGAGGTCTCATCGCACTATTATATATCTCAATAAGCTCAGAAACATTGATATTGATTATTCCTCAAAGTTATAACTTGATCAGTTCACGCTTATTATACTGATCATATGGGGACTATAGAAAATCAATACATCATTACCCATTATCTTTGACATCTTGAATATAAATCTTTAACTGGGCAAAAATAAAAAAAAACACACTATTTTTTACGGACGTATTCCAGCCATTCAAATTTCAAGGAAAGCTTTGGAATGACCTGGAACAGCCAAAGCTTTGCCATTAATGCTGTTCAGCACCTTTTTTCCTTACAATTGAACTCTGTGAAAGAAGTTTGAAGCCTGTTGTCCTTAGTTGTTATGAAAACACACTTCATAACAGTTGACTTCTTCGTCCCTCTTGTTTTCTAGGAAGAACATACTCATTGATCCGTAACCTTCGGCCCCAATTGCTAGAGCCTATGGAGGGAGAAGTCACAAAAACCTTGATTTAAACTTCTACTCACTATTTTCTTCGAAACTATATGTCAGCATTCAATCTAAAATCAGAGTTTGAACTAGTCCAAACTTGGATAAAAATTCATTTTCGATTCTGAAATCATTGTTAGATTGAAAGCTTTTTATTCATGAGTGACAACATCGAAATTGAGTTTAGATTTCAGATTTTTGCTCAATCCAAGTTTAGACTAGCTCAAAATCGAATCTTAGATTGGACGATGACACATACGAATTCCACAAAAATAATTGTAAATTATGGTATATTGAAAACAATGAGTGACAGTATTCTTATCCGTCATGATTACATTCTTTCTATACATATGTATATATATATATTCAAGAACTCTAGATCTTGGTTTTGGAGAGATTGGATGAACTAGTCCCATCCTCCACTTTTTTCTATCGCGTCTGCAAAATTTGAGAGAGCAATTTTTCTCGAGCACTTTCTGCTAGACGGAGTGGTTCCGCCTCTCTCTCTCAATTTGTTTGCCCGTATGGCTTCTAAAAACTATCAAGAGCTTTGATTAGACTAGTAAACTGATACCATTTGTCAACATAGAGTTGGTTTGAAATTTTTAGTTGCTATAAGAACACGAAGCAAAAAAGAAAGTCAAGAATACTTTGAATCCGAATCAAAACTTAGTAGTCTTATAGCAGATCGAAACTGAAGAAATGTGAAAATTTCACAGGCGCGTGTGTTTTTAAGATTTCAACATGAATTAATAATACATAAAAATATAAGTCAGTACGAATATAATTTACCTATCACTTTCTTTATCTAATGGTGGTGCATTTGTAGATAAAATATACATATAAAAAGTTGCTAATGCAAATAATAATGGAATGAACCAAACAGTCAAAGAACTCCCTAAAAAGATTTATGAATATATATATATAAGATGTAAATTTATTCATACTCATAAAATGTAATGGTGATTTTGTTGATGATGAAGGCGTTGATGTTGGTGATGCTATAGATGATGAATCAATTCCAATCGATATTTGTCGTGGAATTAATTCCATTTCAAGTTCAGAATCATGTTGTTGCCTCATGATTTATCAATATATATTAAAGTCAAATTCAAAACTAATAGATAATATCTTCACCTGTTTTTTTTATACATTTATCATACTAAAATATTTATATTCAAATGTAAATAAGAAAAAAAACAAGAAAAAGAGAATAAAACTCGATTAACAAAAATTTATTTTTCTTTTCTGCATACTTTCAGATATTTTTATTTTTCCTATAAATGCCACATATCCTATGTTCAGTTGGTTTTTGTTTTTTATATTATTCTATTGCACACAGTAAGATAGTATATATATGAATGACTATCACTGTTTTGTACAAAAGCAAAACGAAAAAGAGAGAGAGAGAATTAGAGATATATTAACGAAAACAAAGCATGCAAAAAGAAAAAGCGGAAAATATCTGAACTTTGTTTTTCTAGAGATTCGCTCATAAATGATGACCAGACGAAAGAGAAATCTGACATTGTTTTTTTTTTGTTTATAGAATATATATATATTATATTACAGGTCAAGAATAGGTAGATTATCATCTTGAGAATAGAAAGTAGACGATGGAAGAGTTGTGGCAGTTGATAGAAGTCCGTTTGACGGTGAATAATTAGCGACTGAATAGGAAGATGTGGATATTTGTTGTGATTGTTGTTGTTGCTGTTGCGGTAATGGTGGTGGTGGTGGTTGATAGAATGATGATGAAGTTTGATAAGAATAATTTTGAATACCATAGATATTCGAATGTTGTTGAGAATGATGATTATAACCAGACATAGTTATCTGTTGTGCAGGTGAATAACACATTGGTTGATAGTATGAAGTCTAGATTAATGAAAATTCAAAAAAAACAATTTAGATTTAAATAATATACAGTTCTGGACAAAAGTAACCATTCCCTATCAAGTGTTACTATTCTTTATGATATTGAGCTAATATTTTAGATGCATACCTACGACAATACATCCTGATCGTACGCATCAACTGACCTTCCATTGGCTGACATGTACTGAAATTATGATTTACACATCTTCTTTCTCTTGTAAAAATCATATTCAGCAGAAATATGTACATAAAAAATTTTCACTTTTTTATTTTGCTATTTCACAAACTCCTACTGTTTTTTAGCGCTAAAAGCAATCATTACGCCCTGAAATAATGAATCTGTGTCGTACTATTAACTCGACTTCATTTAATTCAGTAGTTGTAAAACTTTCAGAACAAACTTATTGTGTCTCATGGGAACATTTTTTTTAAAATAAATTGTTTAAAGTCATCATGGAAAAGCATCATGTTACTAATAAAATAACATTTGCATTTCAACAAATATTCTTAATAAGAAGACAATGTCTCAGTTATTTTAAAGTGATTTCTAACGAAATCCAGACTAGAAATATCTACGATATTAGCCTTTTTAATGAAGGATTCGATGAAAATATTCGTGACAATATTATTGAAATGCGATAATTGTAAAAAAACGATTATGTCTGAATCATAATTTTAGTACATGTAAACCGATAGAGGGCGGATTGATGTTTATGACTAGAATTTATTGTCGCACGTATTCACTCAAAAGATCAACTTAATATAGTAGCATTTCATGGGTGACAGCTACTTTTATTCACGACTGTTTATGCTGGTGAATGTAGTAAATTGATGACAAAGATATAAAACAAAGAGTAATCGATCATATATACACATAGATGATATTACAATCATGATTTTGAATTGAATCATATTAATTAATAGAAAAAAGATGATATATAGAGACTAAATTGATGAATATAATTCTTTTTTTCTAAACTTACAAAATTAAATAAAACAAAAGACAAAACAAAAAAAAATAATTTTTAAATATGAAATTATCTCATTCAATATCATTAAAATCTTTGTTTAATTTGTTTAACTTACAGGATTTAGATTTGTATCATTTTCTGATGAAATTTGTGATTGTTGATAATATTGTCTTGTTGAATTATTATTATTATTATTATTATATGGATAATTTGAATATGATGATGTTATTTGTTGTTGTTGTTGTTGTTGTTGTTGATTATACATAATTCTTTGTTGATGTTGAACAGCCATTTGTTTTAATGTTTGTGCAGCAGCAATTGGTGGTGTTGATCGATTTGTAATAGGCATTGAATGTGGACTATAATGTATAGTACTTGAACCACGTGGAATTGAATTTCTACGTCGATCTGTTGATATTATTGATGATGTTTGTGATGGTAATGATAATGATGGTGATGAATGTCGTTTTGAAATAGTATCTTGTTCTTGTGATGATAATGGTAAATCATCAAATGATGATAAAAATAAATAATCGTCAGTTTTTTGTTTTATACTATTAAGAAATTCATCAAATAGATCACGATCAGCTGGTGTTATATCTTGTACAACACGTTGAAAATCAGCTTCACTTAATAAATCATTACTTGATATTTTCATTTGTTGTTTTGGTGTTGATTTTATATTTATTGTTGAACTAACTGTTATATCACTTGTTGTTAATTGTTGTATATTAAATTCTTGAATTATTTTTGTTGTTTGTTGATAATTTGTTAATGTATTATTGTTGTTATTATTATTATTAATATTATTATTATTATTATTATTATTATTATTATTATTATTATTAGAATTTGAATTAATTGTTAATGTTGGTGAATGACAACAAAATGATTTCGTTGATTGTTCATGTTCAATATCAAATGAATAAAAATGTTCACCATCATCAACATTACCAAGTTTTCGTTTTGGATTTGATGAAGTCTAAAAACAAACATTAAGAAAAAATAAAATAAAATATAATATCCAAAAAATAAGAAGAAATAATCAAATTTTTAATCACCTGTTCTATCGATTCCATTTTAGATGTAATGTCAAAAATAAAAAAACAAAAACTAGATGAATAATATTATTATTATTAACTCTTGTTTCTTTTTTTTTTTATTTCCTTATTTCCATTTCGAGGGTATGAGAGTACGTGCCAAAACTAATAAAAATGAACTCACCAACGGCCTGGCCGTTGATGCAAGGTCACTTGGCCCATATGTTTCATTCATTTATGTATTCAAAAATAGTTATTATATAAATAAAATATAATTTTGCCAACATATGGACACGATTAGCCGATCAACGTCATTGTTTTATAAAAGTGACAAATGTAGTAGTGATTATCTCGATGAATGTATACGTGTGTTCTGTTCTTGAGATGATGCCCAATGATCAACAATATTCAGAACAGTGTGCCCGATCGATGTGTATGTGCAAGAGTTCTTTGCTCGTTCGTATTACCTTTTCTTTTTTTTTTCCCTCTTCTTTTCTCTGTCGTTCTTTGCCCGTTCATTTTTACTCGTCGTTCGTTGTTCACGTCAAAATGGCCTTGGAGCTGCTCAAATATATACATACGCAAAGGAAGAGAGAAAGAGTACAAGCAGTCTTCTTTCTTTCTTTCCCATTCCTTTTCGCGTAACAGTTCAGTCGTATATGTGTATACTTGCGCACGATCAATGAATGGATATAACATCACATACAAATACATACACATGCATACATACATACATACATACATCATCAAGAGAAAAGAAGCAAAGTTGAGGCCAGAACAAAAACTTGCTCTAATTTCTTTTTTCTCTTTCCCTCCTCGTTTTTTTTTTGTGTGTTCTATATATCAAGAATAATGACCACAATTTTTCATTGTGTCTCTTCTCTAACTTCTCTTTCGGACAGATTAATAGAACAAAAGAAGAAAAATAGAAAAAAAAAAGAATGACCTAGTTCAATTAAGAGAATAGAATTCAGTCAGTACTTTTTGTATACATTGAAAACTAATATTGTCGTCTGGAGAACATATCATTTCTAAATTTAGACACGAATTCTTCATGTAAATATTAGATGAATCGGGTTTTGTTTTGTATATGATTATGTGAAATATAAATATACAATAAGAAAAAAAATATTTTAAAGTCTATAAAGATGATTATCTTTATGTTTTAATTAAAACAAAAATCAGTTTTTAATGTTAATACTTTATATAATAAAAGAATTCTTCTTAAGAAAGATAAAGTTTTAAAACAAAGACTATATAGGAGAATACAATAAAACCTAAGATTCCAGCTGTTCGTCAAGCTTTGAATTGTACAGCATGTATTCTTAATGCTTACATGACTGAAATTAATAATAAGAAGTCATTTTTGATCCAGTAGATATTAAAGAGTATGTGAAGGAACTGAATTATTAGTTCTTCTTTTTTTGTTTTTTGTCGAAAGCAACATCAAGTAGAATCAGCACAGATAGATTTAATCTGAGTTTTATCTGAAGAGGGAAGTCTGCCATCTGATAAATTGTTTTCGAGTCGAGATTATATGCATTATGTAGGATTCAATGAATAATAAATGCCCTAAAAACAGTTCAAGCTCTTAGCTTATTACTGTCGAAATATTGTAGTTTTTAAATGAACATCATGGTAACAGAAAAACTAATTTTCGAGTTTCGACTTGAAACTTTGCATAGAAACAGTTCTCAACGAGAATGGTACATTGTGAATGTTTCAGTACTTGTCATTGTTCCTATCCGAAGACAGCTATAGTAAAACCATGTCTTTAATATATCTCATATATTACGGTATATTCGATATTTTTGTTTCAGAACAAAAGCAAATTAAAATATCTGACGCTTTAACAATAGACTATTTTCATCAAGATCTAACTTTGTACAAACCTTCAAGTCGAAATTCGAAAATCAGTTTTCTTGAGGGAGACTACAGCATTCATTCAAAAATTATGATCAATTTACAATATTTACACAACAATAACCTAAGGACTTGAGTTCTTTTCAAGATATTTGAAAATTCATTTGGATCTACATGCTGCACTAGTGTTGGTCCAATTGCGATTTATCAGTTGGAAGCTTCCCTCGTGAGTGAAAGTCAGATGCTCAAAAAGATCATAGATTATCTGTGTTTTTATACTAATTAACCTCGAATAAATCGCATAGAAATTATACATAATAAATATTTACTATTCAGAAATATTTTTATGTAGGCAGAGAGAAAAGTTGCATTGAATTATCAGCTAAATTCAAAACTAGATAGGATTCAAGACCTTCACTCTTTCAAAAATAAATCAATGAGAGGATAGTTTGAAATCGAATCTATCACAAACAATGTGGTTTTTTTACTTAGCACTTTGTTTTTTTCGAAAATTTTCGATGGTTTGCGTTACCTTCTAGTTGAAAAAGGTTTTTTTTCTCTGTTTATGTTATTCTGATCGCACATCCCAGAATTCTCAGAGAGACTTCCTTCGATACATTTTTTTTATTTGAAAGATCACATAAAGCTACAGTGCCCATTTTTTGAATTAAGCTTTTTTATTATTATATAAAAAAAGTCTTCTATAAATAGATGACCACTTTCTCTCTATAAAAATTACGAATTTGTAAAAAAAAAGGTTTATATCAGACACTGTAGTCTGACATGCGCTTTCAAATAAAAAAGTTTAAATATATAAAATAAGGATCCACAAAGGATTTTAGATTATCAAATGAACTATTTTTGACCCTTGTTTGATGGATATCTCTTGAAAACATCATAGTATAGAGCTGAAAATTTAATGTGATTTGAATGAATCTAACTCAAAATCGAATTCCGAGAGAGGAGAAGGCCTTCAAATAAGAAGAAAAATCTACCATAGTATTCAATTTTATGTTTATTTTAAACTTACCTCAAAAGAATAAATTTTTATAAATTGTTTTTCATTGATGTTGAATATAATCCGAGTATGAAATGATAATTAAACATCTATTTATGCTTAGACTAAATAACATAATTTACTATTTAATTGAATAAATAAAATAAAAATATTGATCATTTTGTTTCACTTCAATAAACACATATAGAAAATATTTATTAACACGTAATAATAAATTAAATATTGTGATATTTTCTTTTGCAATAATAACAATTGGTCAAAATCAACATTATCACTCAATAATAAAATAATATATTTTTTTATTAACAAAATTTATTATTAAACAAAATTTATTCATAATAGTCATCCGATTTTCTTTCCTTTCAAAAAACCAACCAACCAATGTGAAAAGAAATCGGATTGGTTTTTCAACTTATCCATTTAAAGACCTTGAGAAAAAAAATTTTAGCGCTCTCTATGTCAAACTATCAAATCAATTTTTTAACAAGAAAAATAAACTTCTGTAAAATAGAATAAAATAAAAATTTTATAAATAAAAATAAATTAAAAATAATCTAAAGAATCTTCTCAATAATTTTTCCTTAGTTACCAAACACAATTCTTAATCATAATGGCAGCGATTCTTCAAAAGTCTCGAATTATTTTCTTCAAGAACATATTCTTGTTCATCATTTTTATTAGAAATGTTAACTGAAACAATTGATTCAACTATTAATAAAATGCTTGTTCCAGCACAATTAACTCCATCTTCATCAAAGAATATTGATGAACAACAAAAAAAAGATGATTTACGTTATCCTCGAATGACAAAAGAATTTATTAAAAAACATTGCAAAGAACATAAATTATATCAAACACCATATTTAAATGATGTTCTTTATTTACATTTTAAAGGTTTTGGTCGTATTGAAAATTTAGAAGAATATGTTGGTTTAAAATGTCTTTGGCTTGAATCAAATGGTATACAACGTATTGAAAATCTTGATCAACAATTAGAATTACGTTGTCTTTATTTACATCAAAATTTAATAAGTAAAATTGAAAATTTAGATCATTTACAATATTTAGATACAATTAATTTATCAAATAATTATATAAGTAAAATTGAAAATTTATGTAAGTTACAACAAAAACATACACACACATACACAAATTTGTTTTTTTTTGTCTTGTCATTTATAGCGGCTTTACCAAGATTAAATTCACTTTATTTATCACATAATAAACTTGAAACAGTTGAAGATATTGAACATTTAAAAGAATGTAAAAGTTTAAGTGTTGTGGAGTTATCACATAATTTAATTGAAGATCCTGATGCTGTTGAAGTTTTTAGCCAAATGCAAAGTATAGTAAGTATTTTTATAAAGTTTCATATATATATATATATATGTTTTGGTCAAAATTGAAATTCAGTCAAATTTAAAATTTGCCCAGTTAATATTGAAATTTTTTTTTTGATGAACAGAAAAAGATAAAATCTTGATAATAATGAATGTGGCTGAGGATAAGTTCTCTATTTTATCCATAGTTGAGCTCGTCACATTAGTCTCAGATTCAGTTCTGAAAATTTTAAATCCGATGGGCTCTAGTCATCTAAGAAATGCGTATATTACGCTAGTCACTAAATATAAAAACCTGGAAAAAAAAGTAACTGGTATCTTCGAGGCGGCTACTCAATTTCAATTTTAGCTTTTGTCGGCTGCGGATCTCCAAAAGAAGTGGACTCGTAGCTCTCTACATGCATAGAAGATATTCTTGTTTGATCTTGTTTACATAAATATAACTAAAACTATTACATACAACTGAAAAATTTGATGTTACTGTTGATTTGACAAGTTTTGTTTATCAATGAACTGTTCAATTTCCTTTTTTTTTGCTAACATAATGCTCTTTGTAACTAAGTGAAAATTATTAATTTATTAAGTATCGAATGATGAGAAAGTGAACAATAAGGAATAATTGTATTTTAACTTTTTTCTTGAGAGTATCTAATAAATAGTTAAAACCTTGATCCTCTACTTGTTCATGTACACAAAGGGTACCAAACATTGGTGATAAAAAAAAACTCAGGTTCGTGTCTAGAAAAACGTGGACTTGAAGTTCCTTATTCACCGACATCCTCATATAATATTTGTTAATAAATTTTGTAAAGTAAAAAAAAAAATTGTTTGTGTTTCTTTACCGTTTCCTGTTCACGAAATATTGAAAGTTTAATTTTGACTATAATACATATATTTCATTTTTTAATTTAGCGTGTAATCAATCTTATGGGTAATCCATTATTAAAAAATGTTAAAGATTATCGACGAACAATGACACTTGGATGTGTAAGTTTTTTGTTTTAAATAAAATTTAATTTTTTTGTGATTTATTCTATAGGTTAATTTAACTTATCTTGATGATCGACCAGTATTTCCAAGAGATCGAGCATGTGCAAATGCATGGTAAAATTTCATAATAGCTTTTGTATAGTTATTTTTATTTTATTTTTATTTAGGGCTCGTGGTGGTCGAGAAGCTGAACGTGAAGAACGTCAATTATGGGAAACACCAGAACGAAAACGTAGTACAAAACCTGTTAATGGTAATTAAATATGATTTATTAATTAAAATAGAAAAGATATATCTTTTTAGATTTATTATTTATACGTCGTAATTATTTGGGTGATCGTGGTGAAAATCAAAATGATATAGAACAAACTGAAAATGAATTAATCGGAGAAAATGAAATCGATAATGAAGAAAATGAAATCGATAATGAACAAAATGAAATCGATAATGAACAAAATGAAATCGATAATGAAGAAAATGAAATTGATAATGAAGAAAATGAAAGTAATGAACAAGAACAAATAAATAATGAAGATGAACCACCACCACTTGAAGATATCGATGAATCCGACATAGAAAAAGAAAATGAAACAATTGAAGTGGTCACAGATGCTGCACCAATTGAAAACTCAAAACAAGATGATACTGGTAAGTAACAATTATATGGAATCTTACTTTTTCTTAGAATTTTTATTTATCAGATATTCCATTTATTCGACCACCATTAGAAAATGTTGTGAGTCGTTCATCATTTGATACTATATTTGGAGGATCACATAGTATGCAAATATTAGTTATTATTTAATTTCATTTATATTTACTTTGTTCTTATAGAAGCAAATAGTGATACAGGTGAAAAATCTGTAAGATTGAAAATTGTTGATATGGATGATATTGATGAAGGTCCAACACCAACAGGTTAGTTTTTTTGTCCTTCTCAATGATATCTATCTACTATATCTTAATAAAATCTCATCAATTTTAACAGCAATGACAATAGAAATTTTATCTTTCTTCTTAGATAATTTCAAGGAACCATCAAACGAAACCGCAAAACAACCAAAAACAACAACGACACGTATATTGATTGAAGAATTATAATAATCAAATATTGAATTTTTCATACATATATATAGACCTTTTTTGTTTTTGTTTTCATTTATCAAATTGAAAATAAAATAAATCATATTGTGTTTTTTCTTCTGTTATTCAATATCTTTTGTTACATTCTATGCCAATAGCGACACTCAATAAATTTAAAACAATAAATTCTAAAATGATGGTTCATTGGTCTTCAAACAAACAAAGACTTGTTTACAAAATTTCAGAAAGAGTCATATATCGTATGAGGTTCTTATTCTCATATCGAGGGTGAAAGCGAAAAATAAAAATAGACACAAACAGAATGAAGAAGCACGTTGTTAGTATAATACTATAATAGAAGAAAAAACAAAAAAATCTAAAGTCGAGCGGTTTAGCAGTGCATATCATATCGTATATAACTATTGGTTGTTAAATCTTTATATCTGTTAATGTTTATCGTTCTTGCCGACGAAAATAATCATTGCACGTCTAAAAAACATACTGTTCGTACAGTTATCTATTACCATTTTTAGATGATCATACTGCTTCTCTTTCACGAGCAATAACAATAATAACTCTAAACATTTCACGTATACACTTGAATATTATATTTCTATAGAAAAAATTTATTGAAAAGAAAAATATGGATACAACTAAAGATGAATTTAATATTCCGAATATTATTATTGATCCACGAACACGTACACAATATTCTAAAGGAAAATTTCTTGGCAAAGTCAGTTAAACTTATTTTTGTTTTTAAAAAATAATTTCTTTATATAAATATATTTTCTTGGAATCATTTTTTTGTGTTATTCAAGGGTGGTTTTGCTCGATGTTATGAATTAATTGATACAAATACTGGTCAAACATTTGCTGGAAAAGTTGTACCAAAATCAATGCTCGTTAAACCACATCAGAAAGAGAAAGTATAAAATATATTAATAAAAAAATTTTTTTTTTTATATTATTTATTTTGGTTTAGATGCAACAAGAAGTGACCATTCATCAATCACTTAATCATAAACACATTGTGCAGTTTTTTTCATATTTTGAAGATGAAAATAATGTTTATATTATCCTTGAACTTTGTCGACGACGAGTAAAAGATTTCCTTACGTTTTTTTTTTCATATCATTATCATATTATTTGATTGTTTTTTGCTTTTAGTCATTAATGGAATTACATCGTCGGCGTAAGACAGTTACTGAACCTGAAACACGTTATTTTGTTAAACAAATTGTTGAAGCATGTATTTATTTACATGAAAAACGTATTATTCATCGAGATCTTAAATTGGGCAATTTGTTTCTTAATGATCAAATGGAAATTAAAATTGGAGATTTTGGTTTAGCAACACGAGTTGAAAGTGAAAGTGATCGTAAAAGGTAAAGAGAGAAATTTATTATTATATTTAATTCAATTTCTAATCTACGAGGCGTATGCAGAGTGGAACCCAAAGGGTCACCGCTAGACATGTGTAGGACTGGGACCAAAAAAATAAAACTTTACTGGAATCGAAATCCGAGACTATAATGAGATCCTAAACTCTGTGACTTTCTAAGTGAAGTTTGTCGTACATTATGACAAATAAGACGATATAAATACAAATAAAATCTCAAACAGTTTTATCATTATGAACACTAAAGTATGTCTTCGTCAATGTCTGATTGCATTTGTTCACTGGACATTGCTTTATTATCTTTAGCCAATTATCCTTTTTTTTTTGTTCGTGAATATGATTCTAACAAATCCTTTGATAATACACGTCTACTTGAAATAAATGATGGAGAAACTCTCTTCTGACGATGTTTTCTGATTCAATCTATTGTTTTTCAGTTACTAATTGTGTTCCTTTGTCAGTAACTGTTGTATCTGAGTAGACATGTGTAGGATCAGGAATATACTAGATTCACTGTGACTATGATAGGGACTGCTTAAAAAGGAGTCATCGGAACGAAAAAAAACTTGGTTCCGCACATATCTAATTGGCGCCCTTTTTAAGATCGGATTGGCCCTTTTAGACTTTGTGGTTATTGTATCACATATTATGTCTCTGTGCCCCAAAAATAGATGTTCACATCCTTCTGGAGTCTTAAATCTCTCCTCCTGAAGAGAAAATCTAGATAGAATACTGGGTGCATAGTTATTCAAGTTTTGTCTTTTTACGATTGATGTTAGAACAAGGTTCTCTATTGAGTTATTCGTAAAATGATATTTGTCAATGAACGAATATAATTGTGCTTAATGTTTAACACTTGATATAAATGCTGAACTAAGTTATAATAGTTATCTAGCATTCTTTCGAAATCATGGTATTCGAAATATTCTCTACAACATGTTTTTTTTATTCTTACAACATTTGAAACATTACATGCATACGTTTACAGTTTAGATACGAATAGTTCTTTCAGTAAATTTATCCAAAAAATGAATTATGAATGTATTTGCATAAGATTAAAACCATAAACTAATAAAAACATGTTGTGAACAATATTTCGAGACAATTTTAGATAATTATCATGACTTACTTCAACATTTATATTAAGTAGTAAAAATTAATCATGATCATATTCGTTTTTTTGACAAATATGATTTCGTAAATAATTCAACGAGGAACTGTTTGGTAAAAAATTTAATCCAATATGACTCGAATACGAAAACAAAAATATGGACGATGTCATTATTTATAGCACACTCGTTACTAGTAAGTTCTGCTGATTAGAGATGGGTGGGATCAATGTGTTTTTAGTCTCGGACTCGGTCAAGAGAAAACTATTCTAAAATTTTGTAGAGTATCTAAAATAATTCTTAAATACTTCTTTTTTTTGTCATCGACTAGTAATTGACTTACAAGATAATTTGCTTAAAACTATAGAAAATTTAACTATTATCTTTAGCTTTGGTTTGGATAATATTTTTCCTAGTAGTCTCGTTTTCGGCAGCTCGTCTAACTTTGATCTCGCACATCTCTACTACTAAAATAATAATAATAATGACACGAAATCCATTATTAGAATATTTAATTCGTTTTTAAATTGATGAGAATCCTTATAAGTGTTCGTCGTTAGACAAATGACTAGGATTTATATATATGTGTATATGACTATTATATGATCAGATTTCTAAATGAACTTTCTGATCTTTGTTTTATACTATAGAAGTTTTCAAACTTACTCATTAGATCATTATTTCATAGGAAAATATTTTCAAATCTTTTATATTCATTATAATTGAGTATCAATGATAAACAAATCTATTTCTTGTTTATTTTAGAACACTTTGTGGTACTCCAAACTATAGTATGTTTTGATGAATCTTCTTCTTTTTTGTCTTATTAAAAATCTGTAATTTTTTTTTTAATTTTTATTATTTCATAGTTGCACCTGAAGTAATCAATAAAAAAGGTTAAAAATATAAATTGATGATAATAATAATTAATATAAATAGATATTTGTTTTTTTTCTCTTCTAGGTCATAGTTATGAAGTTGATGTATGGAGTTTAGGTTGTATTTTTTATACACTTTTACTTGGTAAACCACCATTTGAAACATCATCATTAAAAGATACATATTCAAAAATCCGTAAAAATGATTATTTAATACCAGAAAATCGTATAAGTCGTGAAGTTGTTCTACTTATTCAACGTTGTTTAAGACATGAACCATATGATCGTCCAACAATGCAACAAATCTATATGGATACATTTTTTACTGGTTTTACACCAGCAACATTACCAACATCAGTTTGTACAGTTGCACCACGTTATTCCGTTATGGTACCATTAAATCAAGCACAACAACAAACTATAATTAATGCTGGTAAAACAGCAACACAATGTGTTATGACAGGATCAATACAACAACAACAACAGCAACAACAACAACGTCGTCCATTTACTGAACAACAACAAAATGAACAAGCATTAATTGCATCACGTCATCAACAACTTGCAACATTACCAACACCAATATTAATGACTGAACGTCCAAGTGATGTACATGGTGTTGGACGTCCAATATCAACAAATGGACCTAATCAAACAGATATTGTTTTATCATCACAAATGGCACGACAATTAACTGGTCTTGATGGTGGTGGATTTATTCCAGCTGGTGCAACAAATGAAGAAATAAATGATGATTTACATTTAGCTATTGATCTTCAAAGACAATTAGAACATTTAATACAACTGAAACCAAATGAAAAACTTGATAAACGTGAAGATGAAGCTGAAGATCCAGCATCAGCACCTATGTTATGGATATCAAAATGGGTTGATTATTCAGATAAATATGGTTTAGGTTATCAATTATGTGATGATTCAGTTGGAGTTTTATTTAATGATTCAACACGTTTAATAATGACAGCTGGTGGTGCTGAAAATCTTCAATATATTGATCGTGAAGGTTTTGAACATTTATGTACAATGAAAGATTATTCTGATCAATTAAAAAAGAAAGTTACTTTACTCAAAGTAAATTTTTTTTTTTTAGCAAAAAAATTAAAAAAAAAAAGATTTTTTTCTTTTAATAGTATTTTACTTCATATATGGATGAACATTTACTTAAAGTAAGATTTATTTGAAATTCTACAAAATTGAAAACAACAACAACAACAAAGCATTGAAAATTTTTAGGCTGGTGCTGCACATGCTCCAAGACCTGGAGATGAACTTTCCCGACTTCCATTTGTTAAATCATGGTTTCGTACACGTAATGCTATTGTTTTCTATCTATCCAATGGAACATTACAGGTTTGTATTTAATCACAATAAGAAAAAAAAAACTCTTTCATTTTTCTTTTTTTTATCATTCAGATTAACTTCTTTCAAGATCATACTAAAGTTATATTATGTCCATTAATGAGTGCTGTTACATATATAAATGAACATCGTGAAATTCGTACATATCGTTTACCGGCATTAGAACAATGTGGTTGTTCGAAACAATTGTTTACACGTATAAAATATGCTAAAAGTATGATTGATCGAATTTTGGCTGCTAAAAGTAACCAAAATCGACTTCATTAAAATATAATAAATAGACATATAGTTGCTCTAATATTCTCTGTCATCTATAGTGCAAATTATTTTTTTTTTCTTTTTCGTGGCTTGTACTTACGCGGTTTGTAATTTTTTTTTGTTCTTTCGCTCTTCTTTTCTCCATTAATTCAATTCAATCGAATGAATATGTTCATCCCTTGAGCTTATGTTTTTCTTTTTTTTTTTGTCTCATGTTGATTTCATTCTTTATTTCTTATTGTTATTATTACTAAACGTATGTGTGCGCGTTTGTACGAGTCAGATAAAAAACAAAAACCTTAAAACATGAACGTAAAATTTTTCGTTATTTGCAGCAGCGACAGCGGCGGCAGTAGTGTTCGTAATATGTATCAGAAAACTGTTGATTGTTGTTCTTCTGCCTTTATTTTTTTTTCTATTCTATACTATATGTTTAAAACAAAAAAAAATATTACTTTTTTTTTTGCTTCTGCATTTCATATACCAGACAGAGGCAGAAACTTTATTAACAAAAAAAAAATAAAAATAATTCGAATAGCATAGGAAAATAAACTTGTAACAAGTTGTTACAATATTAAAAAAAAAGCATTATGATGTTGTCTTTCTTAATAGATGGTGGATTGAAAGTATAGAAATAATGATGAATACTTTTGTTCGGTTGAAAAAAAAACACAACGTGAAGCACATATTCTCAATTTTTTTTCATTAAATTGATAAGTGTACTTAGTATAGTTTGCCGAGAGTTTTTTTCAAGAAGCACTTGATCGTATGTGTATAAGTATGGGTATTCTTTCTTTTGTCACGTATGTGTCTGTGTCTATCGGTTGCTTGGGTATGACGATGACTTATCAATTAATAACACTGCCAAGATACAATTTACTTTTGTTTTTTATTGAATTGTGAAGTTATCAAGAGAACGAAGAACATATTATAAAAGAAACAGAAATATCAAAGAGCAACAATAAAACGAAAAGAAAAGAAATGAATTATATACTACTAGAATTGAATGAGATATAGACATGTGTAATGATTACTTCAAAATGTTTTTACAGATTTCTTTTTTTTTTTATAAAATATTTCAATTACAGTTCAATATTCACTAAATAGAATATAAATGATACTGCAATAAATTCTCATCATATAGTTTTCATGCATCATTTGTTGTCTAGAGAAGCTCATTATTTCTATTGAACTATTGGTTCATATCTTTGAAATATATGAAAAGAAATTGTCCTATTGTTACTATATTATTTACAAAATTAGATGATGTAATTTACATCACATTTTGACCGTGCTAAATATTGCGCTACTTCAGATATATTCAACAGATTCATGTTTACATAACAAAAACTATTAAATACTCTTTTTTTTTCTTAACTTTTTCTTGTTATTAATTGAACACGATTGCTTTTTATCGATTGTCTATGGTCTAAAAAATATTATTGATATGATCAAATTTGACCGATCAAAAAACAAAAAGAAGCTGAATATCGCTTATAAATTTGAACAAAATAACAAAATAAATGTTCTTATTTATAATCTAACGAAAATAAAAGATAAACGATAACTTAAAATGTGAATATTCATTAATAACAAGAGAGTTTTTCCTATCTATTAACTAGAAAATATTAAGTAATTAATCATATCTATACTTAATTTGTTTTTAATAAAAAAAACCAAGGTCAATGCCATGCTATTTCATCTATTATCACAAATAGTAATTAGAACACAGATAAGGACAATATTTTTCTTCGTCTCTAACTTTTTATTCTAATCAACTTATTCGAAATTTTACATATTAATGCATTCAAAATTTTTAAAATAGAGAACTACTAGAAATAGAAAAAAGAATGTTTCGTCAACATACGTACGTGTCTATAACATATGTTTTAGTACAATGGTCTCTTCAATCCATGTCAATAGTTCCAGGTTTTGGAAATAAGTGAATTTCTTTAGAACTGGCTGGAAAGTCGCCGTATTCAATAGAAAAATGCCAGAAATCTATGAAACTTTTAGGAAGTATCCTCAGTCAAACAACCTCTGGATTTGTCTGTTTTTCGCAGGAAATAACAAGAAATCGGCTGGAAGTCATCCAAAGAAAAAAACCTAGACGCTATTCAGTTCGGAATACTTCCTCTAATTTACATTAGTTTCCGATGTTTTCTTGTTGGAATGAACAAACTTTTCTATAAGAAGATTTTATTTCTATCCTCATCTTATGCTTGTACTAAATATATGAGACATATAATTCTAATTTAATTTATTCGTACGAATCTATTATTATTTTTTCTATAATTTTTTTTTCATCAAATGTTCATATATTTATTTTTATTACAAAACACGAGAAAGAAAAAAAAAAAAAGAAACAATGCATAATCATAAAACACTCACGATGTTATACTTCACAACAATAGTCTTAAACCAGTCTTAATCAAGCAGTACATACACAAACACCAATCGATGGAATGAATGAGAATGGCAGATAGTAATGGACCACAAAACATATATATATATATATTTATATTTATATTCGAAAATTTTCTATGCTTTCCTTTTCAGTGTGTGATCAAAAACGACAAGAAAGGCAAATACATCATAAAGAAAACGATATATAAATCATACACATAAACGAGTGATACAATACATATATATACTCCGAAAGAAAAAGAAAAAGTAACTTAATGTTCATATCACAAAGTTCGAATTTTTTAAGAACAGAAAAAAGAAAAGAAAACAAGCCATTGCAAACAAAACAGTAATAATGTTCTACTGTTTTTCTTGATGAATTGATGTATTTTCATCTGTATTAGCCCATGTTAAACGATCTTCATAAAAACGAATGACATGTTGAGGACTTTTAACATTAGCTATAAAAAGAGAAAAGCAAACTATCAAAAAAAACTTAATTTTTTAAAAGTAAATTCATACCGATTCTAGCGGGTACTAATTCGGGTTTTTCTGTTAATTGCCATTTGATTCTAATTACAAGAAAAAATATTTTTAAATAAGAAAAAACAAAATAAATAAAAATTATATTTTTCATTCTTACAAAAACATTAATTCACCATAGACATCAGTTGCTCCAAGAATTTTTTCAATTTCAAGTCCACGTCCATAACCAAAATCACTTGTACGTTTGGATTTTTTTGTTGTATTCGAAGATTCTTGTTGTTGTTGATCAGTACTATCACGGGATCTTCGTTTATTTGAAGTATTATTATTATTATTATTATTAATATTATTATTAGTATTGTTATTTGTTGTTGTTGTTGTTGTTGTATTACTTTCAATTGTTGTTTCATTTGAAGGTTTTTTTAATTGAGTACTAGATCGTTTATGAAAATCAGCAATTAATTCTGGACAATCAAGATTCATTTCAGGTTCCTGTATTAAATAAAAAAAAATGAAATGAAATGAAATTTTTCTTTCTATTAGAAGTATTTGGATTTTTTACCCATGTATTTTCAGAATCATCGAAACCTTTCCATTTTAAAAAATAATAAACTTCACCATTGACAACTTTTCGATCAAGAATTTTTTCAACAATAAATTCTGTTTCATCTAATTCTTCTTCTTCTACTTCTTCATCATCAATAGAATGTTCAGGATGTTTTCCCATAATCAATATATAAATAATGACAATCAAATAAATCTAAACAAAACAAGAACAAGAATATTATAATCGAAAATACAATGTGATGTGCTGTGTTCACTGTTGCGTGAGAAGTATTTTATGCACATATATGCATAGGTTAAAATCTATTTTTTCTCTTCTTCCTTCAACCTTTCTCTCACACATACACACACTTGCTCTGATTTGTAAAGATTGTGAGTCATAAAAAAAAAAAAACTTTCTTTTCATGATAAAGAAAATTTTTAAGAATTTTTATTTAAAAAATTAAGACAGTTATTAAAAATTGTGAAGAAAATGTTTTCAACGATTGTTCTGCTTGATGATGATTGGTTGAGAGGTATTCTATGGAAATTTTAGTCATCTGTTTTAAAGCTTGATCTATTCGAAAGATTTTAGTTTTATATTTCAACTACATATTGAACATGTACACTAATATGAATATTTATCCTGAAATAATAGAATTTCATTTTGTTAACTCAGCCATTCATTTTCATGAAAGGATGCTACCAAATAACATTGTAAATCTGTTACCCACTTAGATTTTACTTTCAATACATTAGAAAAATAAAGTATAAAATTTTACGTATTTCTATGTACTTTTCTTATTGAATGCAAAAAAAAAATTTTTCGAGTACTAAATAGTCTCAGTGGGTCTATCATTTTTGGCTGTTTCGGATAATGACTATGGTAACCATAATTTTTTCATTTCTATACACAATATGACAATTGGATATAGATCATGGCCATTCTTATATTCTACAAATTGACATAATAATCATATTTACCAATTAGTTTGTGCAGAGTGTAACAGGTGGGCCGACGTACCTGTTTGACTCTACATAAACCAATCGATAAATACGATTATTATGTCATTATGCAGAACAGAAACAGTTCTCTCAATTTACACGATGGATTTTAATATTGACACTACAAAACAAAAAAAAGTATCGTTACTGTAGTTACTATTCAACACATTCAAAAATGATACACTCTCTAAGACTATTTAGTCATCGAAAACTTTTTTTTTTGCATTCAGTAGAAAAAAATACAGAGTAATGTGCAAAATTTCATATTCTATCTTTCTAATCTATTGAAAAAGAAATCCAAAGTGATGGCAGATTTACAATCTTATCGAGCGGTATCCTTTATACAGTTGAAATCAATCCATAGTTTAACTCTATTTTTTCTACATTTTATCTAGTAGAAAAAGTATGTTTAGGTTTCGTCTCTGGTATTTTGTCAAAAACTGTATCTCTATGGTTCATATTTTTTGACTCGATATGATCATTCTATTGTCTAGCATATATAATGAGTTCCATGTGTTCATAAAAATCATGAAGAATATTCTTTTCTAACAACTGTCTTCCTTTTTGTTTTTAAATATTTGTCAAGTGCGTCTGTTGTTGTCCTATTTGTTCAGGTTTTCTTCCAATATACTTTAATATGTCATATACTGAGTTTTTTCTTAGTATGTTTTCATACTATGTTCATTAGTTTTCTCAATTTCTAATGTACATCTATCTAACACATATATACTTATTGGTTACGAATGTTTTTCTCTGTCAAGGATGTTATTGTGCTTTCCTATTATTACAATATAAATGTATCTTTTGATTCGTCGCGTTATTGGTTAGTTATCCAGTCATGATTCTTTTATGTGCAATTGATATTGTTACAAAGGTCGAACATATATAGACATAATATTAATAACTCTCAATAATATTGTTTGGCACTATCACTTTGCTTGACGTGTTAGTCCTTCATTCAAAATTAAACAGAATTCTAATAGATCAAATACAGATGAAATCTAAATGTTTTTTGTAGATTTATTAAGGTTCAACTTGAACTAATCAATATATGAAAATAAAATAAAGATACCGCTGTAATTTACTAAACTTCATTGAGTCAATTAATATGATAAACTAACTTTTTTATTTTTATTTCTTGAAATAGATTTATATAGTAAAAACGTTTTATGCATAAGATTACTTTCAATTAAAGATAAATATCTATATCACTTCTTGAAAAAACAAAAAGAAGAGCTGAACAAACGTTGTCATTAGAATCATACTTTGATTAAAATAGAATTCTTTTTTTTAAATACGTTATTCAATATTTGTAAAAGTTGTGTATTCATTTCTATACTTCATAAAAGAGATCTTATGCCATGTGAAATCATCTAAACTCTACCCTGGTATGATAATAAGATAATCTTGATTGAAACATAAAAAACTTTTCTTCCTAATGTATACTTCAATATTATTGACTTGATATTAATTTATACTATTAAAAACTAAGTAATTACATCTAGAGAAAAAATTTTCAGCAAATCGAAATGGTATTAACTGAAATGATTCAACAAAATACATTCTCTTCAAAAGATGAATTTAATCCCAATGTACAGAATCGATTAAAAGATTCGTAAGATAATTTTTCAAATACATCAATAATTTTTATGATGAAAATCTTAAAAATATTTATTTTAAATTTTTGACAAATTTTATCCATTCATATACAATGTATTTAATAATTACATTTTCCCAATCATATTACTTAGGTTAAACTACAACAGTCGGCAACTACAGATTCAGTGGTTGATATGAATCAATATGACGATCGTATATCTTCGTGCTATACACGAAGAAATACATTGCTTTATGAAGACAAAAACGCTCGCTTATTACTTTCGTCACGCTTCATTTTTCTCGATATATGATTCTATTGTTTCGCATACAATCATGGTGATACAGGGTTATAATAGTACATTAAATGAACCATCAAAATATAATTGTAGACGATGCAATATGATTATTTATGAGCGATATACTGACGCCGTACTTTTCGTCCTGAATGTACGTCTCAATGGCATATTTAAAATAAAAAAAAAAGAACTAATGACAATTATTCATTTGATAAAGAATACATACTATTTAAAAATCAAGGAGAGTGGTTATTAGAAAACGAGGAAAAATATCAAGTTTAATAGAACTTAGTTGTCAAAAATTTTCAACACTGATATACGATAGAATTAGAGAATGCAATGTGACACTGCGACTTGTGGATCATTAGTTTAAAAATTTATTATGGTTGATTGAGAAAACAAAAATTAAGGAATTTCATCTACAATTTCTTATCAATTAAAACATCATTCGAAATGATTGTCCCTAATGAAGAGGAACAAATAATACTAAATGTATCAAACAACATTGAATTCTATCTACCGTTATATAAATTAGTATCACAGCTCTAAAGAATCTTCTTAAATAAATTCTATGAGCAAAATCAACACTGAAACAAATAATAACAATTCGGTTTTTTTTGCCAGCGATTAACAAAGACATTCTCATTGTATGAGATCTTAAAAATTAAAAAATGATCAAATAAAAAAAGTTTCACTATTGAGATAATCATTTGATGAATATAATTCTTGTTGACCGATCTATGTGTAAGAAATATGACACATTACTATCCTTCGTATAAACGAAGGTTTCCAGCAAATAATTAAATTTATACATTTTGAGTTTTAATTAAGGGAAGAAGGACAAAAGCGTGACTCCACTACTTAGACATACGAGTCGAATATTGTAAAGTACGATACTCAACATACTTCATTCATATTTCGAAATACTGAAGTTGTATTTGTACCCTCTTGGTTGAACCCTTTGGCAGTAAAGTCTTTTTGGAAAAAAAGAAAATTTCTCTTGTTCTGTATATTTGATCATGAATCAATCTATATTTCTATTTTATAAAAATGTTTTATAAAATACCAGAATTACACCAAAAAGGTTTCTGATAAATGCTTTCACGACAACTAATATTACATATAAGTCTATGTGTTTCAAAATACTAGGAAACCATTATGACCCTATATTGGGTTACCCATCCCCAAACGATTAAGTGCATTTGTTGTATCTTTCATATTTTTTATTTACATAGAAAGAAGTTTTTTTCAAGAACAAAACAATTGTTCTCATACATACGAAACTATTTATATCGGAAACATAGAGTAACTTTTCCATTTACATTGAGTACAGAAAAAATTGAATATCACCTTGAACTTCATTACAATAACCATGACTTCAAACCTGACCGAAAGAAAACAACGAATATAATTTCCATTGCTTACAGTTAAACATATTTTTATTTAAGAAGACATCACAGAAACATTTCAAATTATAACATGAAAACTTGTTTCTTTTCGTTATGTTCAATGAAATATAGATGTATTTTGAGTGAACAAGTATATAACTAGATTCAAACTTGCTAAGAGTAGTGAAAAAGATTTTGTATGAATCAATAATAATCAAGTTCAAACATTTGATTACATGAGAATAAACAAAATTATTGTTTTTATCCAACAAATATTATATCAATGTAAAGTGATGAAAAAAAGTTTAATAACAACGTATTTTTGATTTTTTTTTTCTATAATGTTGAGAAATTAACACAAATCTAGACAGTGATTTTAATAGCTAATAGAATTTTTTTATCTAATACATTCTACACCAAGATTTCATAGAAAAAGGTTTCTAATAAAAGACGGACACCGTAGTTTTCAGATCCTAGATAACTTTGTTGGAACTATTGTTTAATCCTTTACCCCCGTAGTGGTTCCACATGATGTGGATATAATATAAGTATTGAAAAAGAATGCTAATACTCTTAGTAGAACCAACAAAATAAAAAGATCACCCAAACTCTTTTTCTTATGCGCAGGGTGCTATGGCCATTGCATTGGGGGTATTAGTAAAATACACTACAATCCACCTCAACCACTGTTTAACTCTAATTTATTATCAACCGATAGAGATTAGACTTTCCCACTCATAGTACCCCACTATAAGCCATTTTCTTTGAAAAACTTTTGATAAAAATATCTAATATCATTTTGATCGGTCCACTATAAGTCCACTCCAATCCACTATGACTTATTCTCACCCGGATCTCAATGAGCACTAATTTTCGATAAAAAAAGATTATCGAAGTCGGGATGTGGGTGAATTTGAGTGAGTGTGGATTTGGGTGTCTATCTTCTCTCAATTAACATCTACACCCACCCACATCCACCTACACCCGCCCACACCCATACCCAAGCGGATACTAACATCGATACAATACCAACCAGAACAATGCGGAGATGTATATATCCCGAAGACAGAATAGAATTTAAAATACAGAAGTGCTATTATGACTGTTTTCTCATTTTTATCAGTTTTGTAAGTTATTTACTTCTGAAACGGAATTAGAAAACATATCCTTTTTTTTATAATCAATAGTTCATAAGTCTTACTACAAATAATATCTAGACTGATTTTGAATACCATGCTTCTTGTATTTCTTGGTAGAGTTATTACAAATGGCAATTTCATTGACCATTGGGAATAAAGGGTTAACAATGCCTTTTTAAAGAGCATAAAGTTCTGAACAAAATGAGGGATCGCCGCATTTTCTACGACCTTGCCTTAAAAAGTTAAAAGGACATCAAAAAAATCAAATTTACCAGAAAATCGACTAAAAACGACCTTTTTTCAGTTTTTGTACTACTTTTAAATTTTTAAGAGAAGATTGAAAAAAATGCAGCAATCTCTCATGTTGTTCATCATTTTGTGATCCGACAACTACTGTCTCCAGTTTTTTAGAAACCTTACCATCATAATTCACCTATGAAATCTTGCTTCAGAAAAATCCATTGGTTTTAATATCACTATCTAGATTTGAGCTAATGGCTTAGCATTATAGAAAAAAAATCACAAATACGTTGTTGTTAAACATTTTTCTACCATCTTATATGGTTGCTACATGTTCGAAAAAATTTAAATTATATAAACAAGTTTTAACTGTCTTATTTCTATTATCACATCGGATATATATTTTTTCTGTTTTATTTGATTCTCAAATAAATATGAACAATAAAGTTTCATCACTTTTTTTTTGTCTGTTATTTACACAAATGTTTATGTATCCATGGCAGTAGTATTTGATACATGTTTGGATAAATATCGTTTAAATGATTCATCTTCTTGATCAAAATCATCCTGATCTTTATCTTCATCATCATCATCATCATCATCGGTTTCTTCATCATTATGAATATCATCATATCTAATACGTTTTTCACTAATAATACTTTGTTCGGTATTTAAATCTTCTTTTAATCGTTTTAAATCTTTTTCATGTTTATCATTTTCACGTTTTAATTTTTTTTCTTGCCATTTATTATATTCAACTTTATAAACATGTTCATATTCATGACATGCATCATTAATAGAATCAAAAAATTCTTTACAACCATCACCTGTCATTGAACTAAAACCAACACAACGTAAATTTGAATAAAATTCATCTAATACAAGACTTAATGATCGACATAAATCTGTTGAATATGAATGTTCTTGTTCAATAGCTGATTGAAATAATTCAAAATCATTCATCCATTCAAGTGCAAAACGATGATGAATTATATCAGTTTTATTTAATACAATTATAAATGGTAAACGATATTTGTAAAGTATTGATACAGCATAAAGCATATTTGACATAAATGTTATTGGATTTGATGAACGTGGTGTATCCATTATATAAACAACAATTGTTGGATAAGTTGCACCTAATGTTTCAGTTATAATAGTACCTGATGCTGACCATGTGAATACTTCTATTTGACCGGGTGTGTCAAAAAGAAAATAATTATATTTTGTTTGATTTTTATTTAATATTGATAATAATTGATCAATTGTCATTGAAAATAAATTCAATGATGTTACAATTGCACCATTTGGACCAAGCCTATATTGCTTCATAACTTGCTTATAATTGACTGTATCACGAATATCAACATTACATGGATATGGTAATTCATGTACAGCTGGATCAAGATTAACAATATAAGGTGGAGTTTGTTCACCATGTAAATAAGCATTTATACGTTGTATAAATGTTGTTTTTCCTGAACCAGCCATACCAAGTACAAGTATACATACTGGAAGTTTTGGTTCAGTACTTGCGCTTGTTGTTGTCGGTGGTGGTGGTGATGGTGGACTTGCTGTTGATTCTGTTTCCATCTAAAAATATTAAATTCTATAAAGGATTTATACTAATCAATGACTCACAAGTGTATCCTTAGGAAAGAGAAACATATTAAAATTCATTTAAAATCTCAAGAAAATAGTTTAACAAAACTAGCTCTGATTCTTTGCTTAATAATAGACTTCTTTTTCAAAATAACGCATTCGAAAGTAGCATGTATCATAAAATTAAAGTTCAAATTCTATATCAAGACTTTAAAATAATCATGTCTCTCATACTAAAAAGATAAAATTTTTGTCAATTTTCATAACTATCTTATGCAGAAAAAACAATTAATCATGTTGGTGGCTCTGATATTTTCTCAATAACCATTTATTTGTTTCTTTTTTTTCTGAAGAAAAAAAAAATCAAACAACGAGATAAAAGAGCGAGCGCAAGTCTGCAAAGTAAGAGACAAACGATAATTTCATAACAATATAATGGTTGAATAGGCTTATAGAGCAATATAATGATTCTTTGAAAAACAAACGGAAAAAACAAAAACAAAAACAAACAAAATCGAACCGAACACACTAAAAGAAACGGAGCGCGTACAATCTAGCAAATCTTTAACTTTTATCTCCTGTTTTTTTTTCTTTTACGAGACTCACGTAGTTGTATAATCATTCTCAAAAAAAAAAAAATTTTTTTTTTTCAACAACAAACAAAGAAGTAACGAAAAAGAACTCATCGATAAGAGCACGCGGGCACACGACTGATATAAAATGGTAGATGATTTGCTTTAGAAACAAAACAAAACAAAAAAAAAGAACTCCTCTGAAGTGTACACATATAATAATAAATCAAAAAACCAAAAACAGAACTAGTTAGTCTCGACAAAGACGTAAATAACAAACAGTTAAGATTGTTCGAACGTATACATACACACGCACCCACACATATATAGAGCTCAACGAGACAACTGACAAGAGATCGAAGTTTTTGTTTTAAACTAGTTCATTAACAAAACAATATAGTTCAACCAAAACAATACGGTATATACACATAATGAGAAGAAAGGAAGAAAGAAAGAAAGAAAGAAAAAAACACTCATGAGAGAGGAAACAAGAAAAACAAAACAAAAAGTAATAGTATTGCATAATGATAACCGATAATTCACCCTTGAAATTTAGTTTTTCTCTCAGAGTTTTTAATAGATACAGAAGTCATAACAAACCCAATAAGAATAAAGAATAATATGTTTATGAGTAGATAAAGAAAAACATACAGAAAAAAAACAGACATTGACGTAGAAAATAAGAGGGTGGGAAGGGAAGGACGAGAAGGAAGGCTTTTTTTTCTAAATAGTTAGACAATTTGAGCAAACATGGACAAGTAAATAAATAATGTTTGGAGAAAAAGAGAACAAATCACAGTTTTTCGACGTGACACTAAAGACAAGACATACGAATATTGTTTCTTCTTATGTTATTGTGTCGCTCTTATTTATTTCGTTTTTGAGGACCCCAAATAACTGGTATTGTATTCACTGTTGTTTGTGGCACTTGTGATGAACTATCATCTGTTGATAATGTGAGACCATTACTGAACAATGGATATTCGCCTGAAAAAATAAAACAAAAAAACCGAAAATTTGATTTCTTATTTACAGAAATTTTTTTATAAATTATTTCAAGCTCAAAATACTATAAAACAACGAATCTTATTAAGATTTTTTTTTGTGTTGATTTTCCGACAAACTATATGTTGTTTGTTTTATGAAAAATTTTGTAAATCCTTTTTTCTTTGAAAAAAGTATAAATGCGCATATGATTTTCTTCGAAAGGTTAATATTAATTATGGATAATGTCAAATTAAATTTTTGTTCCATTTCAACAGTTACAATAATCGTCAAAAGTCTCACTACCACATAAAAAATATCTAAATTCGACTCTTTTTGCCTGATATTGTTATTGAACATAGTAGGATAAATCCTAATTGCTAGTACAACTACGGAGTTGATCGATCTCTGTATATTAGATACAGAATAAAAGCACTATTTTTTCTGTGGACCTCAAAAAAAAAACATTTTTATAGTTCACCAATATTTCAAAGCATCCTTTTATTGGTAAATAGAATTGTACATATCTTTACTATGTCACACATAGGAAACATCTATCTGTTGTTATTCTGAGATGTAGTGACATATTCAATATCTGGAACGGTCTTCACATAGATTTCAACTTCACCAATGGCTATAATTATGAAATTCTCAAGAAATACTTGATTAAAGTAAACAACTCATTATAGAAAATTTTTTGAGGCAAATGGAATGATGTTTATTATCATTGAAATTTTTTTTTTTTTTGTCAATCTTACCCAAATCATCTCGATTAGGTGCCATAGTAGTTGATGTTTTCATTGAATTTTCATGTTCATTACGTTGTTGTGAATAATTATTTTGTTCATATTCATTATCATATTCTTTTCCATTAGTCCATGGTGCATTTTTAACTTGAAATGATGCTTGTCGTTGTTGTTTTTTATTTTTATTTTCATTGATTACTTTAACATTATTAGTTGTTGATCGATCTTGTTGAATATTTGATGATTGTTGACCTGATATTGAATCATTTTGATTTTGTACATTTGTTGTTGGTCTATATGGAAGATCTTGAAGATAATCTTCTTCTAATAATAATAAATGATCAATACAAGCATCAATTTTTTCTTGATCTAAACCCATAACATGTACTTTATCAGTTTGATTATTAGCTTGAAATCTAATTTCAACATTATATTCTTTCATAATTTGTTGTAATTTTTGTCCACCAGTACCAATTATACGTGCATGTGTACGTGGATCAATTTCAATTTCCATTGTTATTTTAGCTTCAAAATCTTTAATTAATTGTAAAATTTCATTTTGACATGCTAATATTTTATCTTCATAACCAGTTAAAATAATTTCAACATCAGATAATGAATTTGAATTTTGTATTATTTCATTTGATGATAAATTATCATCTTGTTGTTCATTATTATTATCTATTATAGATGATGTTGGTACAGTAGTTGATGATTGATTATTACTAACATCAATTTTAACATCATATTTTTGTCGTAAATTATTTATTGTTTTACCACGAAAACCAAATATTAATGAACGATGTTCAGGTTTAATTGTAAAATGTATTTCATGTGAACGTGCTTGTTTATCAGCTTGATATTTTTCATATGATTCTAATAATTCATTTTTAATACCTTCAACTTGTTCACGTTGACCTTTTAATTGTATTGTATTTTGTGATGAATTAACAGGTGGAAATGTAACATGAACATCAGGATATTTTTTAATTAATAATTGTAAATTACTACCATTTTTACCAACTAATATACCATGTGCTTCATATGGTATATCAACTGAACTTTCACTAGGTATCATTTTTTCTAATGCATTCATTGCTTTATCAATATCATCTGAACGACCTATTAAACGGACAATATCTTTTTGTTTATCATCATCATCACTTGTTGTTGTTGTTGTTGTTGTTGTTGTTTCTTGTTCATCTTTTTGATTATTTCCACGTGGTGGAAATTTAATTTGTACATTATATTCTTTTTGTATTGGTTGAATATATGTACCACCTTGTGCAAGTAAATAACGATGATGACGATGTGGTATAATCATTTCTTTTGTTATTGTATTTTCCCATGTATCAATTAATTCTTCTAAACGTTTTCGTACTTGTTCAACTATATCTTTTGGTCCACGTAATAAAACTTGATCTGAATTTGTATTACGTTCAGGTAATTTAATTAACATATCACCATATTGTTGTTGTAAATCATTTAATAATTTACGACGATTTTGAAAAAATCGACTATGCCATTTAGGATCAATTGTTATATGTTGTTCAATGGAATTTTCAATTGATACATTTAATTGATTAACATGTTCCTCAAGAACTTTTCGTGCTTTATCAACATCATTTTTTTTACCATTTAAACGTATATGTGTTGAATCTTTATTATCATCCATTGATGGTACATCAAGTCGAACATCAGGAATTTTTTCACGTAAACGTTGAATATTTGCACCACCTTTACCAATTAACATTGGATATATACGTTTTGGTACTTCAATTTCTATTGAATAAAGATCTTTGACTTTTTGTTGTAAAAATTTTGAACATTTTTCAACATCATCTTTATCACCATGTAATATAACTTTATCACTTTTACCATTAGCTTCAGGAAATGTTATTTGAATATTATTAAATTTTGAACGAACTTCTTCTAAATGTTTACCTTTGGAACCAATTATTTGTGGATAATATTGAGGATCAATACTTAAATCAGTTGTACGTTCATTTGCCTAAAATTTATTCAATAAATAATTGATTTCTATTTAGAAATATAATTAGATTTAATACTTTTTTTTTTTTTTTTGAAAAATATATCCGTCTTTTGATTATGATAATCATCTGTTATGGACTTTTCAACAAAAATTTCTATGAAAACATCGTATAGGATAAAATAACATTCAAAACAAAGTTATATTAAATAACTACTATTGCTTGAGTCTTGAACTTTACATATAAGAAGAACATCTCTGTACAATTTATTTGTATTCTCTATATATCTGATGGATCTATAGAAATTAAGAATTTGAGTTGGTCTTGTCTATCAGTTCTGATCATACTAAATATGAACAACATGGGACCAGAATCGAAACTGAGATTAAGATGAACACTTTCTATAGCCTTGTACTAAAAACTACTAGCCTTCTCATGTCTAATTCATACAAGTTGAAAGATTAGTAAAATGTTTATTTCATTTCGATAGACTAAAATGGGGATGTTCAGGGATTTAAGTGCATATAAAAAAAACCTGAACATGATAGACATATCCTTGACGTATCGATCTCGATCCTAGGAGCTGTAAGGCTAAAATTCTTTAGACATCGTTCCGAAATTCTAATACATGTAGATGAAAGACTACTTCACTAATGTCGATTTAACATATAGTTAAAGAATTATACGGACTATAAACTGGGGTGAATTGCCCGAAATATGTACAAATTTTTCAAGCAGGTCAAGAGAGTTTTCAGGTTTTTAAAGGTTTATAAATAATGTTCGTCTGAGTCTTTTAAGATAGCTTGATGTAATTGTATTAATTAAATAATCAATTTTATAAGAAATAAATTAATTAAAATGAGTCTTCTATGACAAAGAGAGCTTTACAAATCAAATTTTTTTTTTCAGCGAAACTTTTATTTTCACAATGTCAAATTTCATCTTATAGATTTCCTTCCTATGCGTCTGCTTTATATACACACAGACAAATTTTTTGAAGATTCTTAACTATGACACATTGAATACTATTACGTGATTTCTTCATTGGTTATTTTTTTCGTTTGTGAAATCTTACCAATTTTTTAACTCGTTCTATTAATAATTGTTTTGCTTTTTCTACATTTTCTTTTGTACCCATTAATTTAACAAGTCGATCTTCATCAAATGGAAATTTAATATCACATCCTGATTGTTCTTGCAATTCAAGTAAACGTATTTGATTTTTTCCAATTAATTGTTTATAATATTGTGGATCAATTTCCATTTCTGCATATGTTGTATTTTTAGTTTTAAATTCATTAATAACTATTTGTATTTGATTTCGTACATGTTCAACTTCTTCTGGTGGACCTTCTAATGAAATATGATCCTCACGAAATATTATTCGTACATTTGGATATGTTTTTCGTAAATTTTCAATATCATTATTACGTTCACCTCTAACTGTACTATGCATCCAACGTGGTGCATCGACTTGTACAGCAGTTAATGAATTAGCCTAATTAAAAAAAACAATAAAACAATTTATTTTGAAATTTTAAATAAAAAGAATTGGTTTTTTCACCATTTTATAAATCATTGTAATAGCTTCACCAATTTTAGCTGTTTCACCCATAACTTGAATTGTTGTTGAATGTTCTTCTTGATTTGGTATACGAACAATAACATTTGTTTTATCGAAAATTTCTTTTAAACCAGCACCTTTTTTACCTAATATAAAACGATGTTGTTCACAAGGTATTTCAAGTGGAAATGTCATTATTTTTCCTTCCTAAAGAAATTATTCAATACAAAAAAGAATTAAAAAAAATTCTTTTTACCAAATTTTTATAAAATTGCATAATTTTTTCTTTAGCTTGTTCAACTGGTTCACGTTCACCACGTATTGTTATTTCATCTGTTTGTTTAATTGGTGGTGGTAAATCAATAGTTACATTTAATTGTTGATGTAAATCATCAACAAGTAAATTTCGTATCCATGGATGATATAAATATGGTATTGATAAACGTTCAAAACCTTTATTTAATTGTGTATGATATAAATCAAGAATTCGTTGTTCACATAATTTAACATTATCTTTTGCACCTTTTACAATTATTGCATTTGATTGACTATCTTGTGGTGGTACAGTTATACGTGTTAATGTTTCTTGCTCTAAAAGTTTTAATGTTGCACCACGCGGGCCAATTATAAAACGATGAAAATCTAATGGGATATTAACGGGTAATTGAACAGGCCTTTGAATTTCACGAAGAATTTGTATTTGTGCTGCACGTACATTTTCAGGTCGACCTGTTATTGTCACTATTAATGTTTGATCTTTATGAAGCAATGTTATAGTTGTAGCTAAAAAAAAAACACGAATAAATTTTTTTTTTGCAAAACAAAAAGAAATTTTTTTTCTTCTCTTTACATGTTTCTTTTTGAATTCGAGCACAAAGTTTTTGTAATGGTTGTCCATTATTAGTAGCACCAGTATTACGTGATGATTGATTACCACCTGTACGACGAGAATTATCTAATGCACGTTCATCGGGAGGAATTTCAATCTTTGAAAATAAAATAAACAATTGAAAAATTTAGAATTCTATAACTTAAAAAATTCGAATATAAAATCTATTTAATTAATTCAAATCAAGCTATGCAAATAAAAAACAAACCATCTCGACCATATTTTAACCTTGACATGACCCCTTTGAATCAGTATGGACTCCAGTCAGTTTCATCATATTCTTATAAGTACGCAATATTACATGAGACCGCTCATTGTCCAGATATGCTCTCATGAAGACTAGTACAGTATGTTGATAATATCTGCCAGTTACATTCAATTATTATTTATGTGAATTGATCATTTCGAAGTACATATGAATGTTTGTTGACCTGTCTAGAATTCGTCCTGACCCTAGTAAGATTCATTGTTATGTTATGCATTCATAATATTTAATCGAAGTCATGTCCTTGTAGGTATGTGTTGAGGACATAGTATAGCACATTGATAACATTACTCAATCATATACAACTGTTCTTTTAATGATAGAACAGTTTAAAGTATAAGAGTACAACTGAATAGTGATGTATGATTTCATATGTTTCAAAAATTAAGAATGATAAGACTATGAAAAGAAACGACTAGATAAATATAGTTCGAACTAGCTGATTTTCTGTTTGCTCTTTTTGTAATCAAATCTTTACATATACATAATAAACTAAGTAACAAATTTGTGTGTTATATTTATCTTATCAATAGGGACCCACACAAATGTTATGACCTGCTTCTTCTTTAGATAAGATCATATCTATATGATTATAGCCATATTCAAGTGCTTTTTTTGTTAGTCATGTGGGATGAACATTTTCCTTGCTTTAAACTTGTTTTGCAAATCTTCATTTTCTTCTTCTTCATAATCTATGGAATTTTTCATCTTATGGTTGTCTCTCACTCCTGTTATTGTTTTACCTATAGTTGTTACATTGTTTCGAAGAGTTTTGGATATATACAGAAATAAACTACAAGTAGGATTAAAATCTTACAACAGATCTCAAATGGTAGTCGTGTAAGGGTTAATCAAAATTTTTTAAATTATAAGTATGATATATAACAGAGTGTAATGTTGAATTGACAAAACGTTTATTATAATCTTGAAGCCAATGTCAAGTTGTTAACCTTATAGGAACTAACTATTCAACTAGACTATATAATCACTAGATTTCTAATTTCCAAGTTTCACTAGATCTCAGTTTATACAATGGTATATGTATATATATATACACATGCACCATAATTTAATTAAAGCTGTGAATTATTTACTGTACATTGAAATAATTGCATTTGCAAAATAAAAAGAGAAAAAAAATTGAGTATGAAATCCTTATAATTTTCTCTTAAACTAAAAATAAATATTCTATTGCATAATAATAAGAATAAACTTGAAATGTCTCATACAATCAAATGTCATATTTACGAAAAAAAAAAAAGTAATAAATTTTTTTTTGTCTTATATGAAATGAAATGACTTACAATTTTAGTTGTGACCGATGATGCATGAATAGCCATTTTACGTCGTCGTTCTTCATCATTTTTTGTTGTTGAATATAATGATGTTGTGGTATTAGCCATGGCACCTGTTGGATTATTTCCATTTGATGACGATGATGGAAATGATGATGAGAAAAATGTATTCGAACGATTAATATCAACATTGCCAGCAGATATTAACTGTGGAAATGCTTCATTATAATCTGGTACATCATCATTATCATTTTTTTTTGATAATGATGTTGACATAATTCCAGTCGTTGTACTAAGAACATTTTCTCTTAAATTCTTGTCATCCATTGCCGTGGCCATGATTTATTTAGTCCTAAAAAAAAGATAAAAATGAAAAATAAAAGGGTGTATCATTCTATTGAAAGAAAAAAATGACTAAAATATTTTATTGCAATGAATGTCACTCCTTTCGTCTGATGAGAAAAAAAAGTAAAGAACAAAGTCAATACAACAACAAAATGTGATGCATATACATATATATATAAATAAAAGAGAAAGAGACACTCAGAGACAGTGAGAGAATAAAACAAAAAAGAAAAAAACTACTTGTTCGAATTTAAACACAACACTATCGATTGTTCATCAGTAGACACACAAATTCGTTTTTTTCTCTCTCTTTATATACACACGTACATATTAAATGTATGTGTAAGATCGATATCATATCAATAAAAGAAAGCGTACGAGCGAAAATAAAGACGCATAAAATAAGAAAGCACTAAAAAACATCTGTTTACAGCAACGACGAATAAGGTGTCGACCGATATTCTTTTTGTTTTTATCTTTATCTGAAACGAGAACAAAAAGAAAATGATAATTGAATTTTTTTTTTCTTTCGTTCTATTTCTCGAAACATATTTTTTTTTTCTTTTTTTCTTTTCTATTACAAAGCAATTTTTTCATTGTTAATATTATCAAAAGTATCTGCTTCATATAATTTTCTATTCAATATAAACCATCGATTAAATGCACCAATATCAATAATTCTTGAATGTCTTTTTAAATGTAAATATGAACATGAATTTTCATAAATTTTATATGAATTATCATTTGAACGACGTTGAGCTCTATATATAATTAATGAAAAAAGATAACAATCAACAAAATGTATTTGATCAGATATTAATAATGTTTCAATAGTATCCATATAAATTTCAATTTTTTTATTACGTATAAGACTTGATGTTAATATTTGTTGTTGACGAAATTGTATTAAATTATTTTTATATGCTTGAAATGATGGCATTGTTTGATATGCATATATAAGTAAATATATATTTGATGAATAAAAAATTGTTTTCATAGGACGTTGAATCATTTTTTTTCCTGTTTCAATCAATGCATCACGATAATCAAATGAAAGTTGTTTGAAAAATTTATATACAAAAATTGATGGACGTCGTATCAGAAGATTACTGTATTTGCCCATAAAGGCCATGAGACTTTTTTTTTAATTTGAATCAATAACAAAAAACACAAAAAACAAAAACCAACGAAAATTCTCACCTAATTTGAGTTTTAACTAACAAAATATATCAAATATGAGAAGCAGTGAGAGTGTATAACTAGAGATAAATAGGTGATCTTTGCGAAGAGAGAGCGAGAGAGAGAGAGAGGAAATAAGGACGAAAGAAAAAATGTGTGATACGCGTACAACTATTTCTAGCGAATGTCGTCACAGAATTTAGGAAGGAAAAAAGAAAAATCAAGGACGTTGAAATTTTCATGAAAAATAAGTTAAATTTTCTATAATTTTTGTTTTTAAATGAATTAATATGAGCCAAGTTGAATTTTGAATAATTAACATAGAAAAGAGATCATTAAGTGATTTATGCAGATGAATAAATGAGGTTAACCAGAGAATTTTTTATTGGTTATTAAATAACCAATTGATGAAGAGAAACTATTGAGATTAAAATTCCTGCGTATATTTTAATATGGTTTAGAGAAGATAAGAATTAGAGAGTTTTTTAAGATCGAACTAGCTGAAATCTTTTTGTATTTTGAGAAATTTTCATTAGAATAGAATCATAGTTAAAGTAAAACTTGTAGCCAGATATCTTTCAACAAAGATGTTGCACTATGAGTGTCAATATAAAAAATGATGTATCTCTTTATAGGAGAAAATGATTCGTTTATAAAATCATTATGTTAATCAAAATGAAACAGTTAAATTAAAAAAAGTTCTAGGAATTCAAATTTTTAATAGATTTATATCTGTATTAATCTAATCATATAAATATTTTCTTCATTTATTTAATATGATGTATTAGATAATTGCTTCAATTTTATATTTGATAAGAATATTTTAGATATCGCTCTATTCGAAATGAATGTTACACTTTATTGGCTCTTCACAGTATTATTGCTGGATTTTATATTTATATTGCAGATGCATCTTTTTTTCGTACGACTTAAGAGGAATTTCGCCAAGTGATTAATCGTTTATGACATCAGTCTTATCTCATTGTGTAGGTCCTATTGAGATTAGAGAAAGACATTCTCTCTCTTAGACAATCTTGAGCATCAATTTTCGAGTTCAAACTTTATACAAATAAGCTTCTGAATTGAATTAGTTTGTTATGAAATTATCAGATTTTCTATTATCTCCTATTATGAAATATTAATATTGAAAATTTTGTTTTTATATTTATGTCTTAGGATAGAAAGTTTGGTATTTTCATTATGAACTGGCTTCATTGAGAACTTTTATTTGTGCAAAATTCGAACTCGAAACATGATTTGAGTGGGGGAGGGAAAAAGTTTTTTATTAAAAAAAAACTCACTACTATGATCATAAGTTGAGAAGAAAAACCTATGTGCATGAATTCCTTTAGGCTTTGTCTATTCTCAATAAAACTTAGTTAAGAGGTAAAACTGAGTTCGATAGCGACTTATCACTTGCCGAAACTTTCGTATCAGTCTACACTACAGAATTTCAGCTTCCAACAGCGAGGATTTCTTGAAAAAACTATGAGTCTAAGTCACATACTTATATGCTATTATAATCGGAATTTTATTATGTACTTGTCAGGGTACTATGTTTGGTGTTATTAGAGTTTCTAAACCATAGTTAGTTAATTTTTGAGCTGTACATTACCAATGAAAATCTTGATGACTGTGAAAAAGCGTAATCAAATATAGGTTTTATTTTATAATTATACTTGTAGAACAATTTAGTAAAATGGATTTGCACAAGCACTGCCTGTATTTTTTAAAATCTTGTATTAACAATCGTTCGACAGTGTATGCCAAGCGTAACAGATATTTCAATGTTCCCATTGATGTATGTTTGGATGTACTAGTATTGTTTTGGAATTTACTGTACGTTTTATAATGCTATATAAGGATAAATATTAGCAAGACAAGCATGACAAGGAATTTTGATTTCAACTATACATTAGTATATGTGATAGATTTGATGAATCATTTTGGTTAGAGTGATATAAAGAACCTTTGCTTGATTACCAGACATTTTCTCGGTATGTCAATATGAAATCTGATGTTGCTGATCACTCACAAATAGAATATTTACTATAAGAAGAAATCTAGTTACTACTGATCGCGAGTCAATAGCTAATTTATAATAGTTGAAAAAAAAATGTTTTTTAAATTTACAATTTAAAACTTTAATTTGATCTAGTAGTTTTTGATTGAAATTGTTGAATTAAATGTTTATTATAAAAATATATGACTGACAAAATTGGCTTTGAAAATTTCTATGTGTCTAATATTAGAAGAATTTCTTTTAATCTCAAACCATCGATATTTTAACTGTAAATCAGTGATAGTCACGAAACATTTTTATGAAGATATAAATTTTAGAGAAATTTCTATGCCTAATAAGTTTCTCTTGAATAATAAATATCAAAATATTTAACTATGGCGCTAAAGTCTTGGTACAATATATTCACTCAATTTTTGGCTACTCAAAGGCAGCTGGTTAGAAACAGAAGCAGTCAGTTAGAATTAGACTGTTTCGCTCGTTATTTCAAAAGGTCGAAAATAGTGTTTGCACAGAATACTGTTCTGGTCAATTTTGTATTTCAATTGAAACCTATCAAATCCAAAATACGACATGATTTTTAATGGCTCAATTTTATCGAGCAAAATTTGTTCTACAAAACGTGTTGTTTACTTCTCTGTTGTATCTTATATAACAGATTTTTAAACTTTTGTATTTTTAAAAGCACTTTTCGAAACAACAATTTTTCGACCAATGTCAATTCCCATAGAAACTAGCTCTTTAGTGAAAACGCATAGATTTTGAGTAATATGAGATTTCGCTTATTGTCTACAATAATGTTGAATTAAAGTTGTCCTAAAATATAAACTACGAAAACTGAAGACTGTACCAAAACTACTATTTTGTTTTGTAGAGACACAGTTTTAGACTCTTACAAAATTTACTGATAATTGTTCAATTTTATCCAAGAAAAGAATTCTGAACACATTCGACAAAAGCAAAAAAGTATGACTCTAACTAGCTGTCTTTATGTGAATGAAAAATGAGTAAATATTTTGTGCCAAGACTTTCGTGCCATAAGTTATAATCAAATTATATCTCAAATAACACCAACAGTAAATAAAATTGTCTATTATCTTTCCTCTCTACTTTAATTGCTATTACAAATATTTACAAATTAGAAATAATCAACTACAAACTACATTTTTTTTAGATTAATTATCCATATGACATTTAATATTTTTTCAATAATCCCTCTTTGGTCTCGAACACAGCAATCCGATGGCCACATTGGAGAGGTAATAAATTATTATATTTTATTAAAAAAGATCTTTCTTCAAAAATTACAATTTAAATTCATCAAAAATGATTTTCTCTTTATCTGTCATTCACTAAAATTTTTTATGATTGATAGTGTGATGTCAGAAGGAGTTCTACTTTGTAGTATTAACATCAGATTTGTTCAGACTTACTTTGTCTTTTAAAAAAAAACATTTTAAATATATGTTGATGACAAACAGAGCTTTGATGAATAAACTTTTAAAGAACATATTTTCTACAAGGACACTCAAAAAGTTTTTTCACCAGTCCTTTAGACAACAGTTCAAAGATATCACTCCTGATCGACAATGCATTTGTACATCGATTAGATCAGATCATTGAAGTTTTCTTCCGAGATATTCTTTTGTAAAGCCATTTATGGATTGTTTTGAGACATATAACATTGCATTGAAGTCTTTGAATCCAGCTTCATATAGTTTATATTTGAGTTTCGATCTCAAGAATATACTAGATTTATGGTTCTATATGATCTTCTGTCGAAAATTCGTTGGTATTCCAGTCTTTTTGTAGCCTCGCGTTTTCATAGTATAAATTGAGACATTAAAGACCGATCTTTTGTTTCTTAGTTGATGCAATTTGAAAACTTCTGCTAGGCAACTATTAACAGTCTAACTTCTATTTGCTAGATCCTAATGACATATACTTGTTTAAACTAAGTTTGCCGGAAAAAATGGTGAAATTTGTTTGTTTGACTCTAGTGTCGATGACCGTTGACTCTTCGCGGATTAATTTGTAATGTTCCAAAGCTATGATCTATCACTAGCAGTAATATAGAATACTATATGTAGATAGGCCCTTCCAAATCTTTCCACTAAATAATGATTCAATTGAATATCAAAATTGTTTTCAGTCATAAATGAATTGATAATGCATTCATCGAGCATAAAAACTTTTAAGGACTTAAAACATAAGCAAAATTGAAATAACTGCTGACGAAATGATACTCAGAATGTCATCAATTTATTCGTATGCTCAATGAGAATCACTTCATTTATTGCTGAAACAACTTTAAAAATCTTCTCTCAGACGGATAGTGTATGCAGCATGCATTTTACTGGGAGTTTCATTTCTCGAAGAGATGTTGTTCAAAACTTCTGAGTTTTTTCATAAAAGTTAATCTAGTTGAGTTCTCTATATGCACACAATCTCAGATCAAAATTCTAAAATTAGAATTTTCCAAAAATACGGGATCGAAATATTAGACATATTAAAAATTCGATAGCTGAGTCAAATCTCAATAGGAGCCTAAATCCTTTTAGAGTTTTTATTAGAATGCTATGTAATATCTATAGACAAAAAGTCATTGAAATCAGACGTGAACATCTGAGGAAGTTCCTTCATGAGTCACTAGTGTGAAATTTTTCATGTAATCCTAAATATGACTAAGCATTTTAATAGAATAATTGCACTCAAATTACGACTTCTAGAAGATCTAGGCAACAAAAAAACTTTTAGTGTGTCGTATGTATCTATTTTTTAAACATTTTCATACATATATATATATAAATTAGACTCATTGAATATGATTGATTAAAAAGATTTTTTTTTTTCTTATAAGATTGAATGTATTGATATGAACGTTGATTCAATATCAACATCTAATCCATTTTCTACCCGCATCAATGATTTCTATATTGGAACTACAGATGGGTAAGTTATTCTTGTTGGTTTATTCAACATATAGAATTGATGACTTGATTAAATATTACTATAGTTCGTTTGCATTTTTTCTACCCGATAGCAATGAGTGATATTCAATTGCATTTTGGAGGTCATAAAGATCACATTTTCTTTTTCGATTATATATCTATGCAATGCTTCTTAATATAAACATCAGAGTATAGAATAATTAACTTCTATTGTCATTTCATTTTTCTTTTTGCTCTTGTTTGTTAAATATTATAATTATTTCAGTATATGAACAATGAACAAAGAAATTTTTAAAATGAATCATTTATTCCTGAAGACTTTCGATAACATAAACTAATTTATATTATGAACCACTCATTGTCTGTATTACAGAAAAAAAAGAAACAGAAAAGCTTTTTCCCGCAGTGAGATATCAAAATGAACGTGTTGTACTTGTGCACATGTTGCACGTCGCTTCGTCTTCTTTTTTTTTATGAAGATAAATTATCGATATGTCGAAACGCTATGGTACCATTCTAATCGCAATGCATATCAGGTTCTTTTCTCTTTCTGTTTGACGATGGTCGATAGGCGATGAAACATGTAAAACGAGAGTAGATGATCAAGAGTCAAACATCTAAATGGACGAGTGAAAATCGATATCTTTTGTAAGAAAGGAAAAAGAATGGCATATTATATTTATTTCATCTCCATTAGGTATTTTTTTTTTGTCATTTATACATTAGCATTTCTTTGTACAAATTATGTATTGAAAAAAAAAATCTTCGAAAGAAATGACATTTTCATAAGAAACAAAAGAAATGCGCTTATACTTTTATTTGATTATTTGAATAGAAAATTAAAAAAAAACAGATGTCAAAGGATCCTTGAAAGAAAAAGATCAAAGTACAACAAATTGAACTGTGTCATACGATTGCCTGATACATTTTTATTTGATTTTTTTCTTTTACTATTTATTGATCATATTGTCATGCAAGATTTATTTCATTTAAATAACTTTGATCATACTCTTTCTTTTTTTCTTTTCTTCGTATTGTTGTATTTGTTAGTCACTTAAAAATTTATCAGTGATTGAAAGTGTTTATTACTTATGATGAATACGTGATTATCATATAAAATATATATATTCATTGTCTATAAAAACGAGTAATACTTGACATTTTAATAGCCATTATTGACAAGAACAGGAAACGATCCATGACAAGCAAATAGATCAAAAGATAGTCACTCATAAAATGTGTCATCAAGAACAATAATTATCCATTTATTTTATAAAGAAAAAAAGAATGATAGTAATCAATTAATTAAGTTAGTATGAATCTTTCTTTTTTTGTTACGAATGATGTTTTTTTTCAAACAGATTTTATTTCATGTTGTGATACAACGGATTTCCTCCCGCCTATTTTTTTTTACACCGAACAAAGAGTAATCGTCGCCGCTAGTCATTCATTCATCCATTCATCATAATCACTAGTTAGTACAGCGTAAATTCTCTCATATAATCATAGCGAACATACGAGTGGACATTTTTTTGTCTTCCTTCTCGCTTATGCTTGAACAGGACACATAGAGAAAGAGAGAAAGAAAAAAGAAGAAAAAAATGTTCTATCATATTTCTGCCTAGCCATTCTTCATCATCATTGTCTCGTCTCGTTTCTCTTTCGACATATTGTGCACTCTACAACGATAGCAATGTAAATTAGAACTCTTCTTCCTGTATAGATATACATATTCATTTTATTATTGTGTCGATTCAATTGAATATTATTATTATTATTTTTCTTTCATGATTATAAATCAAATTTTAAATATATTCTATCAACTAATCGTCATATTGACGACAATAAAATATTGTTTTTCTGAAATACATCAAGATGATCAATTATCTAATCAATTATTTAATATTCTCGGTTCATTACAACCATTTCGTTCACAATTTTGTCAATTTAAATTTGAAAATTGTATACAAGATTCATCATATGCTGATCAACTTGATAATGATTGTAATATATATTCACGTTTACGTGATTGTTTTCGTTCATTACTTGATGAAACACAATGTTTAACAATACAACTTAGACGTCAATATAAACAAGCAAAACAAAATGAATATGAATCATGTGGTATAACATTATCATTAGAATCAATTAATTCATCAATTAATACGTCCTCATCATTTAAAATAAATATTAATTATCTAACAGTATTTTTTCTATTTATTATATCTATTTCATTATCATTTATTTAAAAACAAACAAACAAAATAATTTCAATTGACAACATCCGGTGAATTTTCTATTCGTTTGATTTTTTTTCTTGTGAAATATTACATCAATATCTATCAATGTCAGACGTTCGTTATTCTCATTGCTGTATCAATTGAATACATATATATGTCGAGTATACATATAGATTATGAACACGTTCAATACTTTTAAATGATATTTGCCTAGTGCTCTATGATCAAGATAAATAATCGATGCTAGCCAAGTGGTAATTGAACTCAATATACGTGCGTGTGTGTGTGTGCGAGTGTGTGTTCATTTCTTGAACATAGAAAAAAAAGAATTTATGTCAATAAACTTTCAATCATTCATATGAAAAAAAAAAGCCTTAACATACAGTTCGATTAACCGATTATGCAGCCTAAATTATAGTTCCCTATAGGGTACTGATGTCTCGTTCCATTTTTGTTGTTATTGTTTGTATAATAAGCAAAATATGATTAATTGTCTGTACATTTAGTCTTGTATAAAATAGGCGTTGTTATACATATATATTTAAGCTAAGAGCATATTTGCTGTCTGATGTGATATCATTGATAAGAAAATAAGGATATTAAAGACACCTGTTGTATTGATAAATTAATTGAAAAAAAAATGACTAGTTTCATCAATCGATCATTCGTTCATTGTTATATTTAGATAGATATTTAACCTTTTGTATGAATGACATTTTAATAACACACATATATTTCTTCGTGTTATCGATTTAACTTAATGGATGTATGTGATAGTCTACTTTTAAGAGAATTAATCAATGAAATGACACTGTGACACCCTTTGTTTTATATATATATATATATATATGTATATGTTTTGTCCGAGAACGAACAAGTAATTCAGAGGTAAATGATAAGTATAATCAAATCGATTAGTCTTTTTATTTTTAAACAAAAAAAAAAGGAAATATATTAATACTCTAAAATCTTTTATATAAAGGAATAGAAAGATGTTTAATGTGATCAAAAAAAGAAAAAAAGATTTAATTTATCAATATGAGATTTGTAGAATTTTAAATGTCAAATCTTTTTGAATAGTACAAGAAAAATCTGTTCAATACGTGACAAAGCTAATTTTGTATTATTATTTTATCGGTAAATGATTCATGAAATGAATGAACCAATATTTTGTTAGTAAATTGATTTCTTTGTTTTTACGAACTATACTAAAACCGAGTATTTTCATAACTAAGTTCAGACTTTTTTTTTTCTGAAACTTTTGTATATGTCGTTTACAAAATATTTTTCACATTATTGAAAAGAAAATCGTCTTTCTACAAAGATTAAATTCATAGAATATCATTCTTTCATATTAAGCAAATGTCAATCCGATTTCATGTTCAAATATAAAAATGTATATTGACATTATTCTTTATAAATTTGATAATCTTCTCTTTATAGTCTTGTTCACAAATTTTCGTTACAAAAAAATTCAATAAGTTCAGAAACAAACGAATTTGAATGTCATTGTACTGCTAGTGTTAACCTTGGAACAGTAAGATAATTATTTACTTTTGTTTCTAATACTCATTTTGATTGTTTAGCGAAAACCAATAGGAAAAATTAAAGTCGTCATATTATCTCTTCATCGTGTGATAACATTAAGTGATAATCTTCTTCAAGTACTTAATAGTGATAATTTACAAGTAGAAAATTTTTGTTTTATTTTTAAATTTTTCTTTTTTAATAAAGTTTGGTCTGTTTTTGTTAGTTTATATCAAATATAAAATTAAAAAATATTATAACATTTGCTGTTTCAAATCAATTCAAACAAGGAGCATCTATTGATGTATGAGATCGATAAATATATATATATATAATAAAGAATTTTTATTTTATATAAATATATAGATGTGTGTATCAACAAAACGTAATAAATTACAAATCTATCGACTTGATCGAATGAATATTAATTTAATATATGAAATATCTGTACACGATCCATTAATATCAATTGTATATATTTATGCTAATTGAAAATTCGCAAGTAATAAGTTTATTTTCTTCTAGGGAATAGATGAATGTGGTATTCTAGCATGTTCAAAAACAGCTTATTTTGCTTATAGACCTACAATAAATAATGATCGTCGATCAACAGGTTCTTTACAGACTATATTTACATTACATGATCCTAGTATAGTGGCTTGTTTTACTTTTATTAAACCGGTAAGTTTGTTTTTTCACATTTTCAACTATGAATTGATCCAAGATAAGAAGAATCAGACCCACCTGTGAAATATATCGGATTTTATTTCAATATTAATAGTGAAAAAATGATTGTAAGTAAAGAACATTGATACAATCCTTGATAAAAGCAGCTGTTCCCCCTGAAGTACTACTCTTTTTGATGCTATTGAGTTGATATTTTGAGTGCATGTGTGTGATAACAAACCTTAGTCACAAACACTAACCCGTTCTTCATCAGTAGTTCATATGTATGGACATTATGATTCAAGCATCGTCTTGCTTCTTGTGATAAATATATTCAACAGAAATATGCATTCAAGAAGTTTTTGTTTTTCATTTTGCTATTCCACAAATCATTTCTGTTTTTTCGAGTGCAAAAAGTAGTCTCATATACCTAATTTATTATCATCGAAGTCCATGACACATTGTGAAGATCCAAGTGGTTACCATACCCTGAGATCGTGAAATTATGGCGTAGGACTAAATTGATTTCATTCAGAACTGTAGTTTTGAAACGTTTAGCGCAAGCTCATTGTCTCATGAGAACTTTTCACTACAATTGTCAAATGAATTGGTCAGAGTCGTCATGGAAAAGATTTATCTTACTAAAAACTAGCATTTACACTTCAACAGGCATTCTTAATGAGAAAATCATATCTCAATCATTTCAAAGTGATGTCTATTAAAACTCAGATCAGAAATAGTTGCGACTTGGACCTTTTGAATGAAGGGTTGAAATATAAATATTTATACTGACGTAGTCGGAATAAAATGATTACAAGAAGAAGATGGTTTTTGAATTAGAACTCCAACATATGTGAATCAATGAACGGCGAGTTAGTACTTACAATCAGAGTTTATTTTTGCATACATACATTCAAAATATCAGCTGAATATCATAAAAGATAGTAGCATTTTTAGATATGTTTGGATTTAGTTAATCGTTTGTAACTGCTTATGGGTTCAATTGAGTTTCCTTTGAAAACACATCGAAATTTTCAATGGTTTTATTTGATTGTATTTAACCATATATAAATAGAATTCTTCTTACGATCATTTTATACATAAATTTATCAGAGATTGAAAAATTGAAGTCAATTTAATTAAATTCTATAATAACTATGCAGTAAATATAGGATTTAAACGATCTAGACTCAACTGTTTGCATTTTGAAGTTGAGTCTTATTAGAAAAGGAATGAGCATTTGATCTCTATCGATAATAATCTATTGATTAGATGCTACTTTAAATTTACACACAACCGAATCTAAAAAAAAAAGAATTCACATTTAGTTTTGAAAATGATTAAAGTCATTGTAGATCCATATTTGATGTTGATTCAATATAAATCAATTCTTATTTTATAGGGTGAATATCTTCTTAGTGGTCCTAATATTGGCATTACAACCACTCTAGAAGGCACAAGTCAACGTACTCCGATTATGTTTATTAGTCAACCAAATGATTTTATCTATTCACATCCATATCTACTTGTGCGTGTCAAAGATTACATTCATATTTATAGGTATTCATTTTTTCTTCGATTGAAAAACAAAAAAAGAAACTCAATCATCTATAATTATATTCTTTTAGTTATTTGGATGATCAATTGAAACAAGAAATACCTTTAAAAAATTGTCAAACTTTAATAAATATTCCTGAAGGAAATATAAATAATATTTTAATAAATACTAAAGATAATATTTATTTACTTGAATCCCTTAGTATACAAGAACAAATAGATCAATTATTAAATACATACCGATTACAAGAAGCATTAATATTAGCTGAAAATAATTTTTCATCTATTGAAAAACATAATACAAATTCTCTTATATTATCAACAAAAAAACGTGTCGGTTTTATTGAATTTAATTCTATGAATGTTATTCGAGCATTACATTTATTCGATGATATTGATTTAGATTTTCATGAAATAATATTACAAATACCAAATTTTCTACCATTAAATTCTCCTTGGCCAGATTTCGATGAAAATATTAAAAGTCGATATATTCTATGGTTAAATGCATTCTGTGATTATATGACAAAACGATCCGAAGAATTTTCTCGTCAATCAGTAAGTAAACAAGGATCCGGAGCAGTTGCACGCGGACAATTACTCACTAGGACAGTTGTTCACTTGAATACTTATTCACGGATAGAGATGTGCGGTACCGGGACTACGGAAAAAGGAAGTTACTGTAGTTGAGGTAGAGACTACGAGAAGGGTATGGATCTGAATGTGCTTGTGCGCGATTCCTCGTCGCACATGCATCCACGCCATCTAATCGTTATATATCAATAATGGTACGCTTTTAGAGATTTTTGATATAGTAACTGGCATAATTACTTTTTGTGAGGTCATTCTGTTATTCTGCGCGGCTGCTCTGTACATATGTGTCTCGTTGAATACAATTTGTGATTATGTTAGAATTAGAGATGTGAGGAGTAAGCTTTTTTCATATCCTGTAGGGTTGAGTAACCCTACACAACTTTAATTAGAATTATGCATTTGACAAATATTGGAACAATTGAATCAATCAATTTACGATGATGACGATAATGATCATTTTCTCACTAGAAATTCATTTATTGTATCATTTTATTTCATTATATTATTCAAAATTCTTGTAAAAGTTTGCATAGTGAGCAAGTGTCCGTTTCTCAAAAAAGAAAATAATATGTTAAACAAAAAATTATTTATTATTTATTCTTTAAAGGATTATTATTCATCGTTATTAAAAGCATATTTAATTATAAAATCACGTGAAACAATTATAGAATTTCTTGAAAAATATGCATCATATATTCCAATTGATTTTCATAATTTACTTTTTCATATTCGACTTTATCATGGTGCAGCAATACTTTATTCTGCACATGGTAAGCATGAACAAACAATTGATATTTGGAAAAAGTAATGGATTCTCTTGTTTTTCTTATTTTTAATAACTTAAATTTTTCTTTCTTTTTTTTTTACATTTAGCGTAGAATTGTATCGAATGAATATTCTAATGATGATACATTTCCTGGTATTTGGATTATTGCTAAATATATTCTTGAAAGAAATCTTGATCGATCATTGGAATTTTCTGTTGGAAAATGGTTATTAGAACAACATGAAGAAGAACTTGCAACAAAAGTTTGAGAGAATATTTCCTTTGATATTGAATAAAATAGTAAATTATTAAATTTTAGATATTTATTAGTAAATATCAAAATGAATCGAATCGTGATCCATTTAATTCAAATAAAGTTACTCACTTATTAAAACCATACCCAACAGCATTGAGAAATTATCTTGAACAGGGTGTGTTTAAATTAATGATTGAAGTAAGTTGATTAATTGATTTTGAGAACTGAAGAAATTCTTTTGATATTATTATTTATATTGTTGCTATTTGTAAAATGAATAAATCATATTTTTTTCGATTTTACGAGAATAGAATATCATTATGTTTTGAATTCGTTCCTCTTCAATTTTTGAAATTTTACAAAAAAAAAAAGTTTAGTACTTACTCTAATCACAAATAAAGACGGTGAGAATAAAGATCAAGCATAGGTAATGTCAGTTTTGTTCATCACGAGTAGAGTGTTAACACTTCTTCACTCTGGCCTCCTTCAGATAGAATTCAAACGTATATTCGTTATCGAAAAATAAGTTCAGAGATTTGCATAAGTCAAATAAATCTGCGAAAAACTTTACTGATAGAATAAAGAATCGTTCAAAAACACTTGGAGACCATCTATAAAGAGTGTCCAGACAAAGAGAGAGGAGAAGGATCAGATTGAGGACGAAACAGTAAAGATTTTGGTCTTGAAGTCTTTTGAAATTCCACGAAGTCTTGCAGTCTGCTTTTCCCCCCTCGAGTTAGACGCATCTGGACGTTTGGCACTTATTACGATTCTTTTGTTATTTTTTGAGGTATTTTTCGCGATATTTTCTAGTTAAATTAGTTTTGAGCAGCATTGTGAAAAGAATAATTTCTTATAATTCTATAATGCGATATCTATATCATTTGTTTAATACAAAAAAGAAACAGTATATTAGAACAACTGGGTTCTTTCTACAAGAATTTTGAAAAATGGCTGCCTATGGGGAATTGAGGGAGTCATTTAACACCAGACAGGCAGAAGGAAGGTCAAAAAATGCGATTTTTATCAGGGCCTTCTTTATGGATGTTCCCTTGTCTATTCTCGTCAAATATTAATATTTTTCTAGTTTCTGTAATAAGAATGACATGAGAAAATTTCCATTCAAAATTTGATCTATATTAAACAATATAATAATTCTGTAAGAATTAGCAGCATACGGTATGAACAGTTGAAAATATATGAATTTAATACTTGGAGCAATTTACGTGTTTATAGATCTAAACACTGCTACATCATATTATAAGTAGGATAGCAAGAAGGTTTTCTTCGATTCTTCAATACAATCAAAATAATAAATCTATTTATGATTTTAGACTGATGAAATTCATACAATGTTAGTGAATATTTATCTCGATCAAATTTTATCCAAATCTTCTGATGATAATGAACAAACTCGGTTTGATTCTAATTTTTTGTTTTATTGTAAAATTTATTTCTTCATAATTATAGAACTAAATTACAAGAATTTCTTGTTAAATCAAATTTCTATCGGGTTCAATCGGTTCTTAATCGAATCAATCAAACAAAACGATTTAAACGTGAACTTGCTCTTCTTTATGGCAAAGTATATCTTTAAATATTGGTTTTTTTATTTTAATATATATATGTATAAACTTCTAGATGAATAATTTTGAACAGACATTTCAAATACTTGTCAATGAACTTGAAGATTTTCAATATGCAGAAAACTATTGTGTTGCTTTATCATATGATAAATCAAGTGATGATCGAAAAATTGTCGCTCATGCTTTATTCAATGCTTTTCTTGCTTCATTAGATAAGTATGTATATCATTTTTTTTTAAAAATTCATGTTTTTTGTTTTCAATTTGTTTTTCATTTAGACACCCAAATGAAATAACTGCAGCACTTCTTCATCTTCTGTGTAATAACGAAGTTGAATTTGATTTTATTGAAATTTTAAAACGTTTACCATCTCAATGGTCAATTTCCTCATTAAAAGATATTCTTTTACGTGCTACACGTACCTATTCGTATATAAAACGTTCAACAAAACTTGAAATAGCTTTAGATCGTATACAAAATGAAAAATTAAATATCAAATTAAGAAAATTAAAACGTTCAAATGTAATTATAAACGAATATCGACGATGTAAAAATTGTTTAAAACAATTTTATGAAGCATCATGTATTGTTTATCAAGATGGTAGTCAAGTTCATGTTCATTGTGCAAAACAATTAAATTGAGAATCATGAAAATTTTTAAGATTTTTTTTTGTCTGATGTGATTGTGTGATTTCTATTTTTTTATAATAATCATATTTTTGTTGATCATTTTTGATTGATAGATTTATTTATATTTAATTCAATAAAAAACAAAAAAAACTTATAATTTTAAATAATAATTTTTCCGCCAGGGTTTATACAAAAGATTGAGATTGTCTATTAGTGAAGAATTATGCCAACTGCTAGTTATATAAGAAATGATCATAGTTCTTTTTGAAATATCTAGTGATTGGTACATAAGTTTAATAGTAAGGAAGATTATAATTGAAAGACGATGTGCTAGAACATACGGGCAAAACCAGCGAAACGGGACATGCCCATCATCGATTTGACCTTGATTCTTTATAAGGATTTTTTGAACAAGTTCTTCTCCCATAAATACACATATATATATATTATATATATATACACGTTTATGATCTATAAAAAGATATTTCTTTAGTTTATTTCGCTGACATATTTGTCAACAGTGACTTTTGTACATCATCTTACCATTTTAAAACCACAAAGATTTTGATACTGTTAGGGTGGGTGCGTGGATGTTGGTTTCAGTGAACAGATGACAAATGTTCAAACTCACATACACCACCGCCCTTTAATTTCATTTTGAGAAAAAAATCTACCTTTTTCGCGCATTATAGTCATAAGGGCAAAATAATATGTTTATACTATTTAGTTTATATGTCCGTGAAAATGAAGTCAAATATTGAATAATTTAATACCAGAATACTCAGCAAAACAATCCCTACAAGTTCTCACAATTTCAACGAATTCACTCATATACATTGAAGTAAAATAACTAAATTTGCCGATCATATTCATGAAAATTCACTGGTAGCTTGTTATCATAAATAGTTTTGGCTCTGGTTCCATTCAAAATCAAAGTCAGGAAGAAAACTGACTAGTCCATGCTGTAGAGCAAGTTCCGCTCTATCGAACTGCCAATACCATCATTTCTGTTAATTCCAACTTTCTGATGAAATTTTTTGAGTACGTTTTTCGTTCGCACATTGTCATAGAATAAAAGTAGGTCCTTGAAGAGATTGATAAAGTACATAGATTTTTTTATAAGTCATTAAGAATTCTTATGCAATTTTTCACGAGGAACCTGAATCTGTAATTGGTTTTCCAATCTGATGAAGTAATGAAGAGCCAGTAACATTCTTTTGATATAGTTCCAATCTTAGTTTTTACATAAAAGTGCATGAAACCATAAAAAACATAAACAGTATTTGACCTGTATCTACACAAAAGAAGCATCAAGCCTTAACAAATTTAGTGCCAGAATGATCAGCTCAAAAAGTTCTACAAATCGTGAAAATTTGAGCAAAATCGGAGATGGTCGTCGGATCGGCCTAGTGAAACCCCGTGGATACACCCAAATTCATTCTTAATAACTCTTTTAGCTCAATGAGTCGAACTTTGTATTAATTCTTTTGTATGATTTACACACTAAAATAAAATGTGTCGCACTTGTGTGTCGTTAGTTATAGTGTCACAGACTGTCACGAAAATATGTCGCAATTAGAATGTGTGGTATTATGAATTTATCGTGTTCTATCTACTGACTACTCCTGCACCGTTCTGTTTTGCACACGCAGCTATATATCGACGATTCGACTGAGTATGCAACGCTTGTGTATTTTCATGTCTTTTTAGATTATTTCTCGATTAGTTATTAGTCGAGATCAGCATGTCCTCGGCCGATGATCGAGAGAGGACTACCCTGAATCGGTCGGATTGAGATCAGACCAACTTGAGAGATGGATAGATCTCAAAATCTGACCGACTTGAATTTTCAGAATAGGAGTAATTAAATCGAATTAAATTGAAAAAACTTTCATCATTTGGTTTCACTGAAAAAAAATAAAAAATACACTATATACTAGATTTGAACCATGTTTTCCGAATGTGTCGGACCGTTGCTGGACAAAATGTGTCGCAACGAGCACCTCATGTCGTACTTCAATGTGTCCGTACATTGTGTCACAAAGTACAACACATGTGAAACATTGTATTTTAGTGTGTATATAATGTTTTACTGCAATGTGTTCATCATTCTTCAACATTTGCAATATTTGTTCATCAGCTCCTCTCCCATTTAATGTTAGTTTATTCAACGCTTTATTGATGACAAATTTTACTCTTACATCCGTCGTTATATCATACATAATTATACTCTGTGATGTTTCACACAATTGTTTTGAATGGCATTCCTATACTTTCTCATCAAGATTAACACGATAATGCTCTTCTCTTACATTTACTGATGTTAGTAACTGATCTGATAAATCAATCTCTTGATCCATCATTTCCGTAATTGTTGTTGATAGTGCTAAAGCCGGAAAGTTGCTACTATTTGTTGTTTTCAGTACAAAATGTTGTGAGTATGTTCTTTTAGAAGTGTGTCCCCTATATTAGAAGACCTTCTAAAAAAATCGATATTTCGAAATAGTTTCTGGAGTTTATTAACTAACTCATTTAGTATTTAAATCCATAATAATATCTAAATTCAGTACGAACAATATGTTGCTCCCGTCCTCATAACGAAGTGTCTGATCCGAGTGAGTGAAATCTTGAGAAGCAGCTAATAGAAAACAATTGTCTATTAAAGATTGCATTTCTTTGTTAAGACCTATATTTGTTTTCGTAAATGATTCCGCGAGAACTATACATAAATAAAAAACAAAGACTCGAATTTGATATTTAGTAGTAATCATGCTGAACGATATTTCTAAAATACTTTCATCAGTGAAGACAACTCAAACAGATTCTTGTAATATAAGATCATACTGCCATCTGTAAAACGATGATTGTCGCTTTATAACCATCGAAAATCCATTAAGTACCTTGTCGAATATGTAACTAAATAAAACAAGAAAAATAATCATCATTGTTCCTACGTTTTCAATCATGATGAGTAATAAATGTTCTTGAATCTGGCTTGTTTTCAAAGTACGTTTACTGTATTATTATTGAAATAAACCAGTAAGAAAAAGTATTCGATTTCATATATTTTTTTTTTCTTCTTCTATTTAAATATTCTTTTAATTTAGATAATGAAACAAACATTTGTTCAAGATATTGGACAACAATTACAGTCCGCTGTATTCTCATCAGGCTTAACTACAAAACTAATATGTCTTTTTTGTATAATTGGATATTTTCTTTCATTCAATCCACAATGTGTTCAAGCACTTGCTGTCATTCCAGGACATGTAATGCCACCGAATTTTTGGATTTGGTTTGTTCATATTTAATAAATTTTCTACATGTTCTTTTTTTTCGAAATAAAATATTTTTAGGACATTTTTAACACATGGTTTTATTGAATTACATATTTGGCATACAATAATTGATGTTATTGTTGTTTTTCTTTATTCGAAAATGATTGAACCCTTATGGGGTACAAATGAACTTTTACGATTTTATTTTATTGTTACCATTCCAAATGCATTATTTGCAACATGTTTTTATTTTCTTTTTTATGGGGCAACATTTAATGAAGAATATTTATTTCAAAGACCTATTTATGGTTTAGCTGCATTTCTTGGTGCTTATACAGTTGTTATTAAACAAATTATGCCTGATACAGTTTTAGCAACAACACCTTTGTTTAAACTTAAACAAGATCAAGTACCTTTATTAATTGTACTTTTATCAACTATACTTTGGTTTGTTCATGCTGTACCTATACATTTTTTAATTATGTTAAGTTTTGGAATTATTATTAGTTGGACTTATTTAAGGTGAAATGAATTATTTAGATTTTCAACTTACACTATTCTAATATGAAAATATGAAGTTAATCTATAGCGAGAAAGTCTTGATACATAATATTCACTCATTTTTTAACAACTAAAAAACAAATGACTAGAGTCAAAATTTTCCACTTTTTTCAAAAATATGTTCAAATTTTTCTTCTGAAATAAGATTGAACAACTACAATTAAATCTATCTATGCGAGTATCTCCTTATTTTGAGCAGTAGACGCTTATTTCTAGTCTCATAAGCAATAGCAATGTCTATAATGTGAGGAACATATACACTATCATTCATAAACAGAGCAAGAAAAAAATGACAGCAAAAGCATTTGGTGTAATATTTCGTCATTTTTGCATTAACAGGTAGTAACATCAAATCGAATCAACATGAGTTGATTTACTTCTTATTAAAAAAGTTCAATTAACTAATTGTAGGAAAGAAGAAAAAGATTACCTTATGCTGTTGACAAGCGATCGCAACTGAATACTTATAGGTTACAAAAAAAGAAACTAAAAATCTCTCAAGAACGAGTAGTACCTCCGTAAACTGAGCACTTTTGATCGGTTCCGATGGTGCCCATATTAAAGAGGTTTTACTGTATTAATAAATTTTGTGAAAAAGTCCAAATTTGTGTCCGTGCAAAGCAAAGCAACGATTTCGATGCAGTTCTTAGTTTATGTCTTAAAACATCTTTAACTCAACATTATTGTAAAGCACTGAATTTTGTAAAAAAAAAATAGATATTAGCATAAGTAAAATCTCATCTATGCGCTTTCACTAAAGAACTAGTTTCTATGGAAATCGGCAGTTGTTGTTTTAAAAACAAAAGTTTTGAAAACTTATCCTGCCAGATAAAATAAAAAAGTAAATAGTACACTTTGTACAGTAAAGTTTCCTCTACAAAACTGATTCATTAACATGTATTTCGCATTTTGAGTTTGATAGATTTTAATTGAAATATAAAATTTATCAAAATAGTATTCTATACAATCACTATTTTGAAATAATTTGATGATAGTTATTCGATCTTACCTGAGAAACAAATTTTAAACACATATTCGACTATATAGATTGTCTATAAGAAAAAATTGATACAAAATAAAAGAATGGTTGAATATACCTTCTAGCGCTTATAAAAATTGCGTTCTATGATTGAAAATGAGTAAAAAGGAAATGTTAAAAGTATCTTCATAGGC